ATTATACATTATTTATTTCAACATGAAATGCTGAATTCAGATGGCATACTACACAATTAATTGTACATGTTTTTTTTCCAGGTACAAAGGTGTTGATCTGTGATTTCCACAGAGAGAAAGTCTTGAATAAATGGATAAGCAAGAAATATCATGGATTGTCCCACCTGAGTAAGGAAGTCCTCAGTTTTCTCAGAAATATACAGTAGCTGGCAGTACCACACAAGATCTCTACAATCATCATGCTACTCTACTCAAATCTTCAACAATTTGGGAAGAAAATGAGGAGTTCAGGAATTATTTTGAGAAAACCTGGGAAATTCAGTGTGAGGTAGGTTTTCTCTAACTATTTTAGATTGTATCTCACCCCTGTTATTAGGTGTTGAATTATTGAATGTAACTCTCTTCATCCGAATGGATATCATTTTGATGGCCTAAAACTTAGAACGCACTGCTGCTACAACCTGGTACAATGCATCTCTCCTTCTGGCTAATGTTTATTGTACACTGTCCCTGTAAAAATAAAAACCATACCATACCATTGTTTTATCTCTGTATTTTCAATTGAAATCGGAAACTTTCTTTTGATGCTACATATTCTTTCAGCGTTAGGCCCGTGCATTTCGGGAAGAAAGTTTCTACATTACCATTCACACAAACAAGGGTATCGAAAGGCAAAATGAATGGTTGAAGGCGTCATATCTGGCAGGGCAAAAAAAACTGCAGTATAAAGGTGCTTGCAGACCAAAAGCTTCAAAAAGCTTTTGACGCGCGTCAACTCACACCGGGTGATTTTTTGGTGCTTGAAGCTCCTGACGCGCCTGACACCGGTGGGAGGAGCTTCTCTGTTGCCGGTAGTCTGGACAACGGTGGATTTTCCAGAGAGCAGCGAGCCTTTATTTGGTTTATAAAGCCAAACAACGTTGTCGTGGGGTTTCTACAAAACGTGTTCTGGGTTCACCACCGACTTTAGAGGCTGCAGTGTTTCACCGTTTACTCCAGGAGCTGCGTACGGAGGAGTTTCGCTTTCAGCTTTCTCCCCGCCTGGAGCTCCCCTTACCCGGCCTAGAGCTAGCCTCGCTCCCGCCTCTCGCTCGCCTCTCCCTCGCCTCTCCCTCGCCTCTCCCTGCCTGGAGCTAGCCTCGCTCTCGACTCTCGCTCACCTCTCCCTGCCTGGAGCTAGCCTCGCTCTCGACTCTCGCTCACCTCTCCCTGCCTGGAGCTAGCCTCGCTCTCGACTCTCGCTCACCTCTCCCTGCCTGGAGGCTAGCCTCGCTCTCGACTCTCGCTCACCTCTCCCTGACTCGCTCTGGTCGCTGGTCTCTCTCTGGTCTCTCTCGCTCTGGTCGCTGGTCTCTCTCTGGTCTCTCTCGCTCTGGTCGCTGGTCTCTCTCTGGTCTCTCTCTCTCTGGTCTCTCTGTGGTCTCTCTGTGGTCTCTCTCTGGTCTCTCTGTGGTCTCTCTCTGGTCTCTCTCTCTCTGGTCTTTCTCTGGTCTCTCTCTCTGGTCTCTCTTTCTGGTCTCTCTCTCTGGTCTCTCTCGCTCTGGTCGCTGGTCTCTCTCTGGTCTCTCTCGCTCTGGTCGCTGGTCTCTCTCTCTGTGGTCTCTCTCTGGTCTCTCTCTGTGGTCTCTCTCTGGTCTCTCTCTCTCTGGTCTTTCTCTGGTCTCTCTCTGTGGTCTCTCTCTGGTCTCTCCCTCTGTGGTCTCTCTCTGGTCTCTCTCTCTGGTCTTTCTCTGGTCTCTCTCTGTGGTCTCTCTCTGGTCTCTCTCTCTCTGGTCTCTCTCTGGTCTCTCTCTCTGGTCTCTCTTTGGTCCCTCTCTGTGGTCTCTCTCTCTGGTCTCTCTCTCTCTGGTCTCTCTCTGGTCTCTCTCTCTGGTCTCTCTCTCTGGTCTCTCTCTCTGGTCTTCTCTCTGGTCTCTCTCTCTGGTCTCTCTCTGGTCTCTCTCTCTGGTCTTTCTCTGGTCTCTCTCTGGTCTCTCTCTGGTCTCTCTCTCTGGTCTCTCTCTGGTCTCTCTCTCTGGTCTTTTTCTGGTCTCTCTCTCTGGTCTCTCTCGCTCTGGTCGCTGGTCTCTCTCTGGTCTCTCTCTCTGGTCTCTCTCGCTCTGGTCGCTGGTCTGGTCTCTCTCTGGTCTCTCTCTGGTCTCTCTCTCTGGTCTCTCTCTCTGGTCTCTCTCTGGTCTCTCTCTGGTCTCTCTCTGGTCTCTCTCTGGTCTCTCTCTGGTCTCTCTCTGGTCTCTGGGAGGACTGGGTGGGGTCTGTCTGCCAGCGCTGGGCGTGGGTGCTTTGGAGAAAGACTGACGCTGACCAGGAATCCTGGGTCATGTTTGGTTTAGTCCTTGTTCAGTCCTGCTTCAGACTTGGTTCAAACCTGGTCCAGACCTGGTCTAGACCTCAGTTCCATCTGTTCTCGTCTCTTTTGTTGAGGATCCATTTCACTTGTGGCAGGTGCAGCTCGCGATCTTTATCTAAACAAGGACTTCTGACCTGGTTCAGACCCTGTTCAGACCCTGTTCAGACCCTGTTCAGACCCTGTTCAGACCCTGTTCAGACCCTGTTCAGACCCTGTTCAGACCTGGTTCAGACCTGGTTCAGACCCTGTTCAGACCCTGTTCAGACCCTGTTCAGACCCGGTTCAGACCCTGTTCAGACCCGGTTCAGACCCTGTTCAGACCCTGTTCAGACCCTGTTCAGACCTGGTTCAGACCCTGTTCAGACCTGGTTCAGACCTGGTTCAGACCCTGTTCAGACCCTGTTCAGACCCTGTTCAGACCTGGTTCAGACCCTGTTCAGACCCTGTTCAGACCTGGTTCAGACCTGGTTCAGACCTGTGTCAGACCTGTGTCAGACCTGGTTCAGACCTGTGTCAGACCTGTGTCAGACCTGGTTCAGACCTGGTTCAGACCTGGTTCAGACCTGGTTCAGACCTGTGTCAGACCTGGTTCAGACCTGGTTCAGACCTGGTTCAGACCTGGTTCAGACCTGGTTCAGACCCTGTTCAGACCCTGTTCAGACCCAGTTCAGACCCTGTTCAGACCCTGTTCAGACCCGGTTCAGACCTGGTTCAGGGTGTGACTCAAACAAAGGCTGTGAATGGATCAGCTGATGACTCCTGTTTCCATGGAGACGAGAGCTTTTCCCGCCCACTTCCTCCAATGCACCAGCACTGGACTGTACCAGGACTGGACCAGCACTGGACTGTACCAGGACTGTACCAGGACTGTACCAGGACTGTACCAGGACTGGACCTGGACTGCACCAGGACTGGACCAGGACTGGACCAGGACTGGACCAGGACTGGACTGTACCTGGACTGTACCTGGACTGTACCTGGACTGTACCTGGACTGTACCTGGACTGTACCTGGCCTGGACCAGGACTGGACTGGACCAGGCCTGGACCAGGACTGGACTGTACCAGGACTGTACCAGGACTGGACCAGGACTGGAGTAGGACTTGACCAGGACTGGACCAGACCAAGACTGGACCAGGACATTAAGCACATTCACATATTTTTTTTATTAAAGCTCGGGTACCTATTGTTGAACTATCACTAGTTTTTATGGTCTCAGTCACATCTTTAAATCAGCCTTTTCTGGTCTCTCTCTGGTCTCTCTCTCTGGTCTCTCTCTCTGGTCCCTCTCTGGTCTCTCTCTCTGGTCTCTCTCTCTGGTCTCTCTCTGGTCTCTCTCTCTCTGGTCTCTGTCTCTGGTCTCTCTCTGGTCTCTCTCTGGTCTCTCTCTCTGGTCTCTCTCTGGTCTCTCTCTCTCTGGTCTCTGTCTCTGGTCTCTCTCTGGTCTCTCTCTCTGGTCTCTCTCTCTGGTCTTTCTCTCTGGTCTCTCTCTCTGGTCTCTCTCTGGTCTCTCTCTGGTCTCTCTCTCTGGTCTCTCTCTGGTCTCTCTCTCTGGTCTCTCTCTCTGGTCTCTATCTCTCTGGTCTCTCTCTCTGGTCTCTATCTCTCTGGTCTCTCTGGTCTCTATCTCTCTGGTCTCTCTCTGGTCTTTCTCTGGTCTCTCTCTGGTCTCTCTCTGGTCTCTCTCTGGTCTCTCTCTGGTCTCTCTCTGGTCTCTCTCTGGTCTCTCTCTCTGGTCTCTCTCTCTGGTCTCTCTCTCTGGTCTCTCCTTGGTCTTCCCTGGGTCTTCCTGTTGGTGAGACATGAACACCTCCCCCGGGAGTCGTCCAGATGGCTCTACCCCGAGCTCCATCTCCAAGGGACGCCAATCACAGCAACCTGAGCCCGAGACCAAGACCAGACTCCCGAGTCTCTGGGAGCTCTGCCTTTGAACCTGAAGTTTAGAATCCTGGCTTTTTTATATCATGGTTCTTTGTAGACCTGCTTTAGTCCTGCTTTAGTCCTGCTTTAGACCTGCTTTAGTCCTGCTTTAGTCCTGCTTTAGACCTGCTTTAGACCTGCTTTAGACCTGCTTTAGTCCTGCTTTAGTCCTGCTTTAGACCTGCTTTAGTCCTGCTTTAGACCTGCTTTAGTCCTGCTTTAGACCTGCTGTAGACCTGCTTTAGACCTGCTTTAGACCTGCTTTAGTCCTGCTTTAGTCCTGCTTTAGACCTGCTGTAGACCTGCTTTAGTCCTGCTTTAGTCCTGCTTTAGACCTGCTTTAGTCCTGCTTTAGTCCTGCTTTAGACCTGCTTTAGTCCTGCTTTAGACCTGCTTTAGTCCTGCTTTAGACCTGCTTTAGTCCTGCTTTAGTCCAGCTTTAGACCTGCTTTAGACCTGCTTTAGACCTGCTTTAGTCCTGCTTTAGACAAACATTGATGATAATCTGTGACGAGTTTGGTTCCCGAACTTTGACCCCGTAGGAAATAAAAGTATTTGTTGAAAAAAAAATCATTGTTTATTTGAGCATTTTGGAAATCTGCATCAATGACCAAATTTGGTAATGTGTCATTTTAGCGTGTCATATTAGCGTGTAGCATATTAGCGTGTAGCATAAAAGTATGTAGCGTAATAGCTTGATTGGGTTCCTAACCTTTGAACTGTATGTTGCACATTAGTAACGACCTGACTGTCCCCTCCTCTCCTGCAGGTGGCGCCGGGTAAAGTCCCCACAGAGCTGCAGATCAAGCTGGAGCCCCTGGTGCTGAAGGCCGAGGCTCTGGACAAGTGCCAGGTCCCGGTCCAGGACCAGACCGAGCCCGTGGACCTGTCCCTCAACAAGCCTCGCTCCCCTCTCCCGGCCTTGGCCTCTGGTCCTACCCTCAACCCCGCCCCCTCCACCACCACACCTGGTCTCTGCGTCCCACCTGGTCTCAGTGCCACGCCAGTCACCACCAACGTCCAGTCCATTGGATCCATGGTGAGAGAGGCCCACATGGTCTGTGCTGAGGGAGAGAGGCCCACATGGTCTGTGCTGAAGGGGACAGGCCCACATGGTCTGTGCTGAAGGAGACAGGCCCACATGGTCTGTGCTTAGGGAGAGAGGCCCACATGGTCTGTGCTGAGGGATAGAGGCCCACATGGTCTGTGCTGAGGGAGAGAGGCCCACATGGTCTGTGCTGAAGGAGACAGGCCCACATGGTCTGTGCTTAGGGAGAGAGGCCCACATGGTCTGTGCTGAGGGATAGAGGCCCACATGGTCTGTGCTGAGGGAGAGAGGCCCACATGGTCTGTGCTGAGGGAGAGAGGCCCACATGGTCTGTGCTGAGGGAGAGAGGCCCACATGGTCTGTGCTGAGGGAGAGAGGCCCACATGGTCTGTGCTGAGGGAGAGAGGCCCACATGGTCTGTGCTGAGGGAGAGAGGCCCACATGGTCTGTGCTGAGGGAGAGAGGCCCACATGGTCTGTGCTGAGGGAGAGAGGCCCACATGGTCTGTGCTGAGGGAGAGGCCCACAGGGTCTGTGCTGAGGGAGAGAGGCCCACATGGTCTGTGCTGAGGGAGAGGCCCACAGGGTCTGTGCTGAAGGAGAGAGGCCCACATGGTCTGTGCTGAAGGAGAGAGGCCCACATGGTCTGTGCTGAGGGAGAGAGGCCCACATGGTCTGTGCTGAAGGAGAGAGGCCCACATGGTCTGTGCTGAAGGAGAGAGGCCCACATGGTCTGTGTGCTGCAGTTCCTCTCCTCACCAGCAGAGGGCACTAACCCTGTGTGTCTGCAGTTCCTCTCCTCACCAGCAGAGGACACTAACCCTGTCTCTGCAGTTCCTCTCCTCACCAGCAGAGGGCACTAACCCTGTCTCTGCAGTTCCCCTCCTCACCAGCAGAGGGCACTAACCCTGTCTCTGCAGTTCCTCTCCTCACCAGCAGAGGGCACTAACCCTGTGTGTCTGCAGTTCCTCTCCTCACCAGCAGAGGACACTAACCCTGTGTGTCTGCAGTTCCTCTCCTCACCAGCAGAGGGCACTAACCCTGTGTGTCTGCAGTTCCTCTCCTCACCAGCAGAGGGCACTAACCCTGTGTCTCTGCAGTTCCCCTCCTCACCAGCAGAGGGCACTAACCCTGTGTGTCTGCAGTTCCTCTCCTCACCAGCAGAGGGCACTAACCCTGTGTGTCTGCAGTTCCTCTCCTCACCAGCAGAGGACACTAACCCTGTGTGTCTGCAGTTCCTCTCCTCACCAGCAGAGGGCACTAACCCTGTCTCTGCAGTTCCCCTCCTCACCAGCAGAGGGCACTAACCCTGTGTGTCTGCAGTTCCTCTCCTCACCAGCAGAGGGCACTAACCCTGTGTCTGCAGTTCCTCTCCTCACCAGCAGAGGGCACTAACCCTGTGTGTCTGCAGTTCCTCTCCTCACCAGCAGAGGGCACTAACCCTGTCTCTGCAGTTCCTCTCCTCACCAGCAGAGGACACTAACCCTGTGTGTCTGCAGTTCCTCTCCTCACCAGCAGAGGACACTAACCCTGTGTGTCTGCAGTTCCTCTCCTCACCAGCAGAGGGCACTAACCCTGTCTCTGCAGTTCCTCTCCTCACCAGCAGAGGGCACTAACCCTGTCTCTGCAGTTCCTCTCCTCACCAGCAGAGGGCACTAACCCTGTGTGTCTGCAGTTCCTCTCCTCACCAGCAGAGGGCACTAACCCTGTGTGTCTGCAGTTCCTCTCCTCACCAGCAGAGGGCACTAACCCTGTCTCTGCAGTTCCCCTCCTCACCAGCAGAGGGCACTAACCCTGTGTGTCTGCAGTTCCTCTCCTCACCAGCAGAGGGCACTAACCCTGTGTGTCTGCAGTTCCTCTCCTCACCAGCAGAGGGCACTAACCCTGTGTGTCTGCAGTTCCTCTCCTCACCAGCAGAGGGCACTAACCCTGTGTGTCTGCAGTTCCTCTCCTCACCAGCAGAGGGCACTAACCCTGTGTGTCTGCAGTTCCTCTCCTCACCAGCAGAGGGCACTAACCCTGTGTGTCTGCAGTTCCTCTCCTCACCAGCAGAGGGCACTAACCCTGTGTGTCTGCAGTTCCTCTCCTCACCAGCAGAGGGCACTAACCCTGTGTGTCTGCAGTTCCTCTCCTCACCAGCAGAGGGCACTAACCCTGTGTGTCTGCAGTTCCTCTCCTCACCAGCAGAGGGCACTAACCCTGTGTGTCTGCAGTTCCTCTCCTCACCAGCAGAGGGCACTAACCCTGTGTGTCTGCAGTTCCTCTCCTCACCAGCAGAGGGCACTAACCCTGTGTGTCTGCAGTTCCTCTCCTCACCAGCAGAGGGCACTAACCCTGTCTCTGCAGTTCCTCTCCTCACCAGCAGAGGGCACTAACCCTGTGTGTCTGCAGTTCCTCTCCTCACCAGCAGAGGACACTAACCCTGTGTGTCTGCAGTTCCTCTCCTCACCAGCAGAGGGCACTAACCCTGTGTGTCTGCAGTTCCTCTCCTCACCAGCAGAGGACACTAACCCTGTGTGTCTGCAGTTCCTCTCCTCACCAGCAGAGGACACTAACCCTGTGTGTCTGCAGTTCCTCTCCTCACCAGCAGAGGACACTAACCCTGTGTGTCTGCAGTTCCTCTCCTCACCAGCAGAGGGCACTAACCCTGTGTGTCTGCAGTTCCTCTCCTCACCAGCAGAGGGCACTAACCCTGTGTCTGCAGTTCCTCTCCTCACCAGCAGAGGGCACTAACCCTGTCTCTGCAGTTCCTCTCCTCACCAGCAGAGGGCACTAACCCTGTGTGTCTGCAGTTCCTCTCCTCACCAGCAGAGGGCACTAACCCTGTGTGTCTGCAGTTCCTCTCCTCACCAGCAGAGGGCACTAACCCTGTGTGTCTGCAGTTCCTCTCCTCACCAGCAGAGGGCACTAACCCTGTGTGTCTGCAGTTCCCCTCCTCACCAGCAGAGGGCACTAACCCTGTGTGTCTGCAGTTCCTCTCCTCACCAGCAGAGGGCACTAACCCTGTGTGTCTGCAGTTCCTCTCCTCACCAGCAGAGGGCACTAACCCTGTGTGTCTGCAGTTCCTCTCCTCACCAGCAGAGGGCACTAACCCTGTCTCTGCAGTTCCTCTCCTCACCAGCAGAGGACACTAACCCTGTGTGTCTGCAGTTCCTCTCCTCACCAGCAGAGGACACTAACCCTGTGTGTCTGCAGTTCCTCTCCTCACCAGCAGAGGGCACTAACCCTGTCTCTGCAGTTCCCCTCCTCACCAGCAGAGGGCACTAACCCTGTGTGTCTGCAGTTCCTCTCCTCACCAGCAGAGGGCACTAACCCTGTGTGTCTGCAGTTCCTCTCCTCACCAGCAGAGGGCACTAACCTTGTGTGTCTGCAGTTCCTCTCCTCACCAGCAGAGGACACTAACCCTGTGTGTCTGCAGTTCCTCTCCTCACCAGCAGAGGGCACTAACCCTGTGTGTCTGCAGTTCCTCTCCTCACCAGCAGAGGACACTAACCCTGCGTGTCTGCAGTTCCTCTCCTCACCAGCAGAGGACACTAACCCTGCGTGTCTGCAGTTCCTCTCCTCACCAGCAGAGGGCACTAACCCTGTGTGTCTGCAGTTCCTCTCCTCACCAGCAGAGGGCACTAACCCTGTGTTTCCGCAGGTGCTGTCTCCGGGGTCCATCCTGGCCACGCAGGGGGCGGGGGGGCAGCAGATCCTCCATGTGATCCACACCATCCCCTCTGTGAGCATGCCCAGTAAGGTGGGCCAGCTGCAGACCATCCCTGTGGTGGTCCAGTCTCTGCCCGTGGTCTACACCGCCGTGCCCTCGGACGGAGTGGCCGCCGCCGCCATCACCGTGCCACTGATCGGGAGCGACGGCCGAGCAGAGGGATCAGGTGAGAGACCTCGGCAGGAGAGAGAGAGACCTCTGCAGGCACAGGAGAGAGAGAGAGAGAGAGAGACCTCTGCAGACACTGGAGAGAGAGAGAGAGAGAGAGACCTCTGCAGGCACAGGAGAGAGAGAGAGGAGAGAGAGAGACCTCTGCAGGCACAGGAGAGAGAGAGACCTCTGCAGGCACAGGAGAGAGAGAGACCTCTGCAGGCACAGGAGAGAGAGAGACCTCTGCAGGCACAGGAGAGAGAGAGACCTCTGCAGGCACAGGAGAGAGAGAGAGAGAGAGAGACCTCTGCAGACACTGGAGAGAGAGAGAGAGAGAGAGACCTCTGCAGGCACAGGAGAGAGAGAGAGAGAGAGACCTCTGCAGACACTGGAGAGAGAGAGAGAGAGAGAGACCTCTGCAGACACTGGAGAGAGAGAGAGAGAGAGAGACCTCTGCAGGCACAGGAGAGAGAGAGAGAGAGAGAGACCTCTGCAGGCACAGGAGAGAGAGAGACCTCTGCAGGCACAGGAGAGAGAGAGAGAGAGAGAGACCTCTGCAGACACTGGAGAGAGAGAGAGAGAGAGAGACCTCTGCAGGCACAGGAGAGAGAGATAGAGAGAGAGAGAGACCTCTGCAGACACTGGAGAGAGAGAGAGAGAGAGAGAGAGACCTCTGCAGGCACAGGAGAGAGAGAGAGAGAGAGAGAGAGACCTCTGCAGGCACAGGAGAGAGAGAGAGACCTCTGCAGGCACAGGAGAGAGAGAGAGAGAGAGAGAGAGACCTCTGCAGGCACAGGAGAGAGAGAGAGAGAGAGAGACCTCTGCAGACACTGGAGAGAGAGAGAGAGAGAGAGAGAGACCTCTGCAGGCACAGGAGAGAGAGAGAGAGAGAGAGAGACCTCTGCAGGCACAGGAGAGAGAGAGAGACCTCTGCAGGCACAGGAGAGAGAGAGACCTCTGCAGGCACAGGAGAGAGAGAGAGACCTCTGCAGGCACAGGAGAGAGAGAGAGAGACCTCTGCAGGAACAGGAGAGAAAAGAAACAAGGGAGAGAAGTGAGAGAAGAGGGGGAAGAGAAAGACCAGATAGAGGGAGACTAGAGGAAGACTAGAGGGAGACTAGAGGGAGACTAGAGGGAGACTAGAGGGAGACTAGAGGGAGACTAGAGGAAGACTAGAGGGAGACTAGAGGGAGACTAGAGGAAGACTAGAGGGAGACTAGAGGGAGACTAGAGGGGGACTAGAGGGAGACTAGAGGAAGACTAGAGGGAGACTAGAGGGAGACTAGAGGGAGACTAGAGGGGGACTAGAGGGAGACTAGAGGGAGACTAGAGGGGGACTAGAGGGAGACTAGAGGAAGACTAGAGGGGGACTAGAGGGAGACTAGAGGAAGACTAGAGGGAGACTAGAGGGAGACTAGAGGGAGACTAGAGGGGGACTAGAGGGAGACTAGAGGGAGACTAGAGGGAGACTAGAGGGAGACACCCTGGTTAGCCCCTCCCACACTCACCCCTAGCTGCTTCCTGATTGGTCAAACAAATTCAAATATTTTTTTCTGGGTTATTTCTAGAACACGTGACCTCTGTGATAAACCAGGAACCTCTGCACATGGTTTCAGGAACATGTTGAGCATAAAAGTGTCCCATGGTCCGAAAAATATTTTAAAGGTGTTTCTTGTTCCTCAGTGAGAATCAAACCTGGATCAACGTCTCCAGAGATTCACAGCGACAGCGACGCAGAGAGCGAATCCTGCGCCATCATCAGCCAGAGCCCAAGGTACCTCCACCTGGTCTCTCTCTCTCTGGTCTCTCTCTGGTCTCTCTCTCTGGTCTCTCTGGTCTCTCTCTCTCTGGTCTCTCTCTCTCTCTGGTCTCTCTTCTTCTGGTCTCTCTCTCTGGTCTCTCTCTCTGGTCTCCTCTGGTCTCTATCTCTCGTCTCGTCCTTTCTGGTCTCTATCTCTCTGCTCGTCCTTTCTGGTCTCTATCTCTCTGCTCGTCCTTTCTGGTCTCTCTCTGGTCTCTATCTCTCTGGTCGTCTCTCTCTGGTCTCTATCTCTCTGGTCGTCCTTTCTGGTCTCTATCTCTCTGCTCGTCCTTTCTGGTCTCTATCTCTCTGCTCGTCCTTTCTGGTCTCTATCTCTCTGCTCGTCCTTTCTGGTCGTCCTTTCTGGTCTCTATCTCTCTGGTCGTCCTCTCTGGTCTCTATCTCTCTGGTCGTCCTCTCTGGTCTCTATCTCTCTGGTCGTCCTTTCTGGTCTCTATCTCTCTGCTCGTCCTTTCTGGTCTCTATCTCTCTGGTCGTCCTTTCTGGTCTCTATCTCTCTGCTCGTCCTTTCTGGTCTCTATCTCTCTGCTCGTCCTTTCTGGTCTCTATCTCTCTGCTCGTCCTTTCTGGTCGTCCTCTCTGGTCTCTATCTCTCTGGTCGTCCTTTCTGGTCTCTATCTCTCTGGTCGTCCTTTCTGGTCTCTATCTCTCTGGTCGTCCTTTCTGGTCTCTATCTCTCTGGTCGTCCTTTCTGGTCTCTATCTCTCTGGTCGTCTCTATCTCTCTGGTCGTCCTTTCTGGTCTTTATCTCTCTGGTCGTCCTCTCTGGTCTCTATCTCTCTGGTCGTCCTTTCTGGTCTCTATCTCTCTGGTCGTCCTTTCTGGTCTCTATCTCTCTGCTCGTCCTTTCTGGTCTCTATCTCTCTGCTCGTCCTTTCTGGTCTCTATCTCTCTGCTCGTCCTTTCTGGTCTCTATCTCTCTGCTCGTCCTTTCTGGTCTCTATCTCTCTGGTCGTCCTTTCTGGTCTCTCTCTCTGGTTGTCCTTTCTGGTCTCTATCTCTCTGCTCGTCCTTTCTGGTCTCTATCTCTCTGGTCGTCCTTTCTGGTCTCTCTGCTCGTCCTTTCTGGTTTCTATCTCGCTGGTCGTCTCTATCTCTCTGGTCATCCTTTCTGGTCTCTATCTCTCTGGTCGTCCTCTCTGGTCTCTATCTCTCTGCTCGTCCTTTCTGGTCTCTATCTCTCTGGTCGTCCTTTCTGGTCTCTATCTCTCTGCTCGTCCTTTCTGGTCTCTATCTCTCTGCTCGTCCTTTCTGGTCTCTATCTCTCTGGTCGTCCTTTCTGGTCTCTATCTCTCTGCTCGTCCTTTCTGGTCTCTATCTCTCTGGTCGTCTCTATCTCTCTGGTCGTCCTTTCTGGTCTCTATCTCTCTGCTCGTCCTTTCTGGTCTCTATCTCTCTGCTCGTCCTTTCTGGTCTCTATCTCTCTGCTCGTCCTTTCTGGTCTATCTCTCTGGTCGTCCTTTCTGGTCTCTATCTCTCTGGTCGTCTCTATCTCTCTGGTCGTCCTTTCTGGTCTCTATCTCTCTGGTCGTCCTCTCTGGTCTCTATCTCTCTGGTCGTCCTTTCTGGTCTCTATCTCTCTGCTCGTCCTTTCTGGTCTCTATCTCTCTGCTCGTCCTTTCTGGTCTCTATCTCTCTGCTCGTCCTTTCTGGTCTCTATCTCTCTGCTCGTCCTTTCTGGTCTCTATCTCTCTGGTCGTCCTTTCTGGTCTCTATCTCTCTGGTCGTCCTTTCTGGTCTCTATCTCTCTGGTCGTCCTTTCTGGTCTCTATCTCTCTGCTCGTCCTTTCTGGTCTCTATCTCTCTGCTCGTCCTTTCTGGTCTCTATCTCTCTGTTCGTCCTTTCTGGTCTCTATCTCTCTGCTCGTCCTTTCTGGTCTCTATCTCTCTGGTCGTCCTTTCTGGTCTCTATCTCTCTGCTCGTCCTTTCTGGTCTCTATCTCTCTGGTCGTCCTTTCTGGTCTCTATCTCTCTGGTTGTCCTTTCTGGTCTCTATCTCTCTGCTCGTCCTTTCTGGTCTCTATCTCTCTGGTCGTCCTTTCTGGTCTCTATCTCTCTGGTCGTCCTTTCTGGTCTCTATCTCTCTGCTCGTCCTTTCTGGTTTCTATCTCTCTGGTCGTCTCTATCTCTCTGGTCGTCCTTTCTGGTCTCTATCTCTCTGGTCGTCCTTTCTGGTCTCTATCTCTCTGGTCGTCCTCTGTGGTCTCTATCTCTCTGGTCGTCCTTTCTGGTCTCTATCTCTCTGCTCGTCCTTTCTGGTCTCTATCTCTCTGGTCGTCCTTTCTGGTCTCTATCTCTCTGGTCGTCCTTTCTGGTCTCTATCTCTCTGCTCGTCCTTTCTGGTCTCTATCTCTCTGGTCGTCCTTTCTGGTCTCTATCTCTCTGGTCGTCCTTTCTGGTCTCTATCTCTCTGGTCGTCCTTTCTGGTCTCTATCTCTCTGCTCGTCCTTTCTGGTCTCAATCTCTCTGCTCGTCCTTTCTGGTCTCTATCTCTCTGCTCGTCCTTTCTGGTCTCTATCTCTCTGGTCGTCCTTTCTGGTCTCTATCTCTCTGGTCGTCTCTATCTCTCTGGTCGTCCTTTCTGGTCTCTATCTCTCTGGTCGTCCTCTCTGGTCTCTATCTCTCTGGTCGTCCTTTCTGGTCTCTATCTCTCTGGTTGTCCTCTCTGGTCTATCTCTCTGGTCGTCCTTTCTGGTCTCTATCTCTCTGGTTGTCCTTTCTGGTCTCTATCTCTCTGGTCGTCCTTTCTGGTCTCTATCTCTCTGGTCGTCCTTTCTGGTCTCTATCTCTCTGCTCGTCCTTTCTGGTCTCTATCTCTCTGCTCGTCCTTTCTGGTCTCTATCTCTCTGGTCGTCCTTTCTGGTCTCTCTCTCTCTGCTCGTCCTTTCTGGTTTCTATCTCTCTGGTCGTCTCTATCTCTCTGGTCGTCCTTTCTGGTCTCTATCTCTCTGGTCGTCCTTTCTGGCCTCTATCTCTCTGGTCGTCCTTTCTGGTCTCTATCTCTCTGGTCGTCCTTTCTGGTCTCTATCTCTCTGGTCGTCCTTTCTGGTCTCTATCTCTCTGCTCGTCCTTTCTGGTCTCTATTTCTCTGCTCGTCCTTTCTGGTCTCTATCTCTCTGCTCGTCCTTTCTGGTCTCTATCTCTCTGCTCGTCCTTTCTGGTCTCTATCTCTCTGGTCGTCCTTTCTGGTCTCTATCTCTCTGGTCGTCCTCTTTGGTCTACCTCTCGTCGTCCTTTCTGGTCTCTATCTCTCTGGTTGTCCTTTCTGGTCTCTATCTCTCTGGTCGTCCTTTCTGGTCTCTATCTCTCTGGTCTTCCTTTCTAGTCTCTATCTCTCTGGTCGTCCTTTCTGGTCTCTATCTCTCTGCTCGTCCTTTCTGGTCTCTATCTCTCTGCTCGTCCTTTCTGGTCTCTATCTCTCTGCTCGTCCTTTCTGGTCTCTCTCTCTCTGCTCGTCCTTTCTGGTTTCTATCTCTCTGGTCGTCCTTTCTGGTCTCTATCTCTCTGGTCTCTATCTCTCTGCTCGTCCTTTCTGGTCTCTTTCTCTCTGGTCGTCCTTTCTGGTCTCTATCTCTCTGGTCGTCTCTATCTCTCTGGTCGTCCTTTCTGGTCTCTCTTTCTCTGCTCGTCCTTTCTGGTTTCTATCTCTCTGGTCGTCTATCTCTCTGGTCGTCCTTTCTGGTCTCTATCTCTCTGGTCGTCCTTTCTGGTCTCTTATCTCTCTGCTCGTCCTTTCTGGTCTCTATCTCTCTGCTCGTCCTTTCTGGTCTCTATCTCTCTGCTCGTCCTTTCTGGTCTCTATCTCTCTGGTCGTCCTTTCTGGTCTCTCTCTCTCTGGTCGTCCTTTCTGGTCTCTATCTCTCTGGTCTTCCTTTCTGGTCTCTATCTCTCTGGTCGTCCTTTCTGGTCTCTATCTCTCTGGTTGTCCTTTCTGGTCTCTATCTCTCTGCTCGTCCTTTCTGGTCTCTATCTCTCTGCTCGTCCTTTCTGGTCTCTCTCTCTCTGCTCGTCCTTTCTGGTTTCTATCTCTCTGGTCGTCCTTTCTGGTCTCTATGTCTCTGGTCTCTATCTCTCTGCTCGTTCTTTCTGGTCTCTTTCTCTATGTTCGTCCTTTCTGGTCTCTATCTCTCTGGTCGTCTCTATCTCTCTGGTCGTCCTTTCTGGTCTCTCTCTCTCTGCTCGTCCTTTCTGGTTTCTATCTCTCTGGTCGTCTATCTCTCTGGTCGTCCTTTCTGGTCTCTATCTCTCTGGTCGTCCTTTCTGGTCTCTATCTCTCTGCTCGTCCTTTCTGGTCTCTATCTCTCTGGTCGTCCTTTCTGGTCTCTATCTCTCTGTTCGTCCTTTCTGGTATCTATCTCTCTGGTCGTCCTTTCTGGTCTCTATCTCTCTGCTCGTCCTTTCTGGTCTCTATCTCTCTGGTCGTCCTTTCTGGTCTCTATCTCTCTGCTCGTCCTTTCTGGTCTCTATCTCTCTGCTCGTCCTTTCTGGTCTCTATCTCTCTGCTCGTCCTTTCTGGTCTCTATCTCTCTGCTCGTCCTTTCTGGTCTCTATCTCTCTGCTCGTCCTTTCTGGTCTCTATCTCTCTGCTCGTCCTTTCTGGTCTCTATCTCTCTGGTCGTCCTTTCTGGTCTCTATCTCTCTGGTCGTCCTTTCTGGTCTCTATCTCTCTGGTCGTTCTTTCTGGTCTCTCTCTCTCTGGTCTCTCTCTCTGGTCTCTCTCTCTGGTCGTCCTTTCTGGTCTCTCTCTCTCTGCTCGTCCTTTCTGATTTCTCTTTCTCTGCTCGTCCTTTCTGGTCTCTATCTCTCTGGTTGTCCTTTCTGGTCTCTATCTCTCTGGTCGTTCTTTCTGGTCTCTCTCTCTCTGGTCGTCCTTTCTGGTCTCTCTCTCTCTGGTCGTCCTTTCTGATCTCTCTTTCTCTGTTCGTCTTTTCTGGTCTCTATCTCTCTGTTCGTCCTTTCTAGTCTCTATCTCTCTGGTCGTTCTTTCTGGTCTCTATCTTTCTGGTCGTCTCTATCTCTCTGCTCGTCCTTTCTGGTCTCTATCTCTCTGGTCGTCTCTATCTCTCTGCTCGTCCTTTCTGGTCTCTATCTCTCTGGTTGTCCTTTCTGGTCTCTATCTCTCTGGTCGTCTCTATCTCTCTGCTCGTCCTTTCTGGTCTCTATCTCTCTGGTCGTCCTTTCTGGTCTCCTTTCTCAGCTCTCTTTCTAGTCTCTCTTGTTCCTCTCTCTGGACTCTGTAGTCTCTCTTACTGGTCTCTCTCTAGGCTCTCTCGTCTCTGGTCTCTTTCTGGTCCCTCACATCTTGTGTTTTTGGTCCCTGTCCCATAGTTCGATAAGATTTGTTCAGACAGAAAAGTCTCTCTCCTGCATCAAAAACACATTATTCTGTTTTTTTTTTTTTTTCAGTTTTGGGAAGCAGCTCGGAGGCAGACGCGGCTGTGAATGCATCACTTTGGAACCTTCAGAAATGATTGTGGTGAGTTTCATGTTGTCTGCTCCAGAGAGAGAGACCAGAGAGAGAGAGAGACCAGAGAGAGAGAGACCAGAGATAGCAAAGAGAGGGACAGGAGAGACTAGAAAGAGGGTTGAGAGAGAAATGTGAGGGAGACCAGAAAGAACGACCAAAGACCGAGACCAGAGCCGAGAGGGAGAGACCAGAGCCGAGAGGGAGAGACCAGAGCCGAGAGGGAGAGACCAGAGCCGAGAGGGAGAGACCAGAGCCGAGAGGGAGAGACCAGAGCCGAGAGGGAGAGACCAGAGCCGAGAGGGAGAGACCAGAGCCGAGAGGGAGAGACCAGAGCCGAGAGGGAGAGACCAGAGCCGAGAGGGAGAGACCAGAGCCGAGAGGGAGAGACCAGAGCCGAGAGGGAGAGACCAGAGCCGAGAGGGAGAGACCAGAGCCGAGAGGGAGAGACCAGAGCCGAGAGGGAGAGACCAGAGCCGAGAGGGAGAGACCAGAGCCGAGAGGGAGAGACCAGAGCGAGAGAGAGAGACCAGAGCGAGAGAGAGAGACCAGAGCGAGAGAGAGAGACCAGAGCGAGAGAGAGAGACCAGAGCGAGAGAGAGAGACCAGAGCGAGAGAGGGAGACCAGAGCGAGAGAGGGAGACCAGAGCGAGAGGGAGACCAGAGCGAGAGAGCCTATAGCGAGAGAGACCAGAGCGAGAGAGATCAGAGCGAGACCAGAGCGAGACCATGTGGGGGATGTCATGTGGAGTTTGAATGAACAGAGGACACAGGAAACACACCATAATGAGGGACGTTAGCACGAAACAGACACAGGACCCAGAGGAGGGAGACACGTCCGGACCCAGAGACTCGCGCCTTCTCCTCGTGGTGCAACTACGAGAGCTACTAAGGAGCAGGACTGAGGCTGTATACCCAGGACTGAGGCTGTAGACCCCAGGACTGAGGCTGTAGACCCCAGGACTGAGGCTGTAGACCCCAGGACTGAGGCTGTAGACCCAGGACTGACATCAAAAACATCTTAACCCAAACCTTAACCTTTGTTGTAAAAGGTCAGTTTTTAAAGTTCTGTGGTTGAATCCCGCTGATGGTTCGAGTCTCCTTGATGAAACTTTTGGATTATTGTCTGGTCTCTGGTCATGTGTCCTCTTTCTCTCTTTCTCTCTTTCTCCTCTTTCTTTCTTTCTCCTCTTTCCTCACATCTCTTTCCCTCTCTCCTCTCTCCCCTGTCCTCTCTTTTCCTCCCCTCATTCTCTCTCCTCTCTCTCCTCCTCTCTCTCCTGTTCCCTGGGGAGATCCCATGAGTGTGATATGACTGTCACGCCACAGTAACTATAGATTTTTGTGTCTATTATTGTGTGTCTGTGTGTGTCTCTGTGTCTCTGTGTCTCTGTGTGTGTGTGTCTCGGTGCGTGTGTGTGGGTGTGTGTGTGTCTCTGCCTGTCTCTCTCTTTGTGTATCTGTGTTTGTGTCTATGTGTGTGTGTGTCTATGTGTGTGTGTGTCTCGGTGCGTGTGTGTGTGTGTCTCTGTCTGTGTCTCTCTTTGTGTGTGTATCTGTGTTTGTGTCTACTGTATGTGTGTGTGTCTGTGTGTGTGTCTCTGTGTCTCTGTTTGTGTGTGTGTCTCTGTGTGTGTGTGTGTCTCTTTGTGTGTGTGTGTGTGTTGTCTTTCCTGTCTGTATCACTGAACCCTGGCAGCAGAACTCACACATGTCTAAAAGTTCTTGAGACATAACAACACATTTCAAGCACAATGTTCTGTAAATCTTGGTTAAAAAGTGAAACTGGGACTTTGTCAAAAATGTGTCGAACAAAGATTACACACAAAGCGACACACACAGAGAGAGACACACACACAGAGAGAGAGAGAGAGAGAGAGAGAGGAGTGGGCGGGTGGGCGAGCGAGGCGGAGTCACAGAAACATGTGAGTGACTTTGTGACTGTGGCGTGGACTGAGCGGCTGCTTCCTCTGAACGACGTCTGAACTTTTTATTATTATTTATGAAAATTTGGAAAGTTTTTATTTCTACGGATTGGATATTTTCAACTCTGATCATTACCTGGATTCCCTGGTCTCTCTCACTCTCGCTCTACTCTCACTCTGGGCTTTCTCTGGGGTCTTTCTGGTCTCTCTCTCTAGTCTCTTTCTGGTCTCAGTCTTGTCTCTCTCTGGTCTCTTTCTCTGCTCTCTCACTCTGGTTTCTCTGGTCTTTCTCTCTGGTCTCTTTCTGGTTTCTCTCGCTGGTCTCTCTCTCTGGTCTTTGTCTCCAGTCTCTTATGGTCTCTCTCTGCTCCCTGATTTCTGTCTGGGCTCTCTGTGGGCTCTCCCTGGTGTCTCTCTGGTCTCTCTCTCTGGTCTCTCTCTCTGGTCTCTCTCTGGTATTTCCTGCCTCTGGATGCCGACACCATGAGTATCCTGCGTTGGCACAGGATCTCGATGCTTTGGAAGAACTGGATGTTTAATCAGGAACCGTCTGAGGAACGTTTTTCTCGCTCTGATCTGGGATTGGGAACGTTGCAAGACTGCGGCTCCGATGTGGACCAGGACCAGCACCAGGACCAGGGTCTGAAGAGGAGCATCTCTAAACCAGCAGATACTTTGAAGAGGAGCGTCTCAGAACCAGCGTCACACTATCGTAAACTGAGGCAGAGAGGAAGCTGGTGTTCTGAGGAGTTCGACTGGACACAGGTGGATCTGAAACAAGGAATACCACATTATTATTGTCCTTTTTAAAACTACTATTTCGTTATTTCGTTTTATTATGTCATGTTTTAAAAGATCAAAGGTCGAAGTCGTATGAAGAGTAAAAACTTCTGGTCCCTCTCTGTTTCTGGGATTTTGTTTTTGCTTCTTCTACAGTTGTCTGTGCTCCAACAACATCATATAAACGCCAGTATCACCTGACAATTAACTTTATTAATTAGACCCAGGACTGAGGCAGTAGACCCAGGACTGAGGCTGTAGACCCAGGATTGAGGCTGTAGACCCAGGACTGAGGCTGTAGACCCAGGACTGAGGCTGTAGACCCAGGACTGACATCAAAAACATCTTAACCCAAACCTTAACCTTAACCTTTGTTGTAAAAGGTCAGTTTTTAAAGTTCCTGGATCTACAGAAGTTTCTGTCTCTCTGGTTGATCTGTCTTTCTCTCTGCCCCCTCTCTCTCTAGGGTTTCTGTCTTGCCTCTCTATGGTCTCTCTATGGTCTCTCTCTACGGTCTCTCTATGGTCTCTATGGTCTCTCTCTACGGTCTCTATGGTCTCTCTCTCTCTATGGCCTCTCTGGTCTCTATGGTCTCTCTCTACGGTCTCTCTATGGTCTCTCTCTACGGTCTCTCTATGGTCTCTATGGTCTCTCTCTACGGTCTCTCTATTGTCTCTCTATGGTCTCTTGCTTTGGTCTCCATGGTCTCTCTGGTCTCTCTCTGGCCTCTCTGGTCCTATTTTTATGAGCATTTCTGGACAGTGGTTGTGCTGCTCCCTATAGACCTTTTGCTCCTATGAGTTTGTTGTTATTGCATTTCCTGTTTGATTTTTTTTTTATCCGTTGTTGGTAAATCCACAACTTTGTAAAGTCTGGGAACGACTGCTGCTGTGATTTAGGACGAGACACAAATACATCGAACTTAATTAAAGTTATAATTAAAGACGTTAAAAATGTCCTGTTTTGGGTTTGTGTAACTGTTGTTTTTGGCGCCTCCTTCAGGTGGAGAACGGCAGCGAAGCGGAGGAGAACCTGCTCCAGAGAGAGGAGTCCCAGAGGAGGTCCAGGAGGAGGTTCAGGAGGATCAACCCCAAAGGAGAGCGGGAACTGATCACAGATGGACCAGAGCCCAACTCCTACACCACGGTAAGAGGGAGCCCCCCGGAGAGAGAGAGCGAGACAGAGAGAGAGAGAGACCGGGGAGAGAGACAGACAGGGGATAGACCAGCGTGAGAGAGACCGTAGAGAGAGAGGCCGGAGAGAGACAGAGACTGGAGGAGAGAGAGACCGAGATCAGAGAGAGAAACCAGAGACCGACCCAGAGAGACCGACCCAGAGAGACCGACCCAGAGAGACCGACCCAGAGAGACCGACCCCGAGAGACCGACCCCGAGAGACCGACCCCCGAGAGACCGACCCCCGAGAGACCGACCGACCCCAGAGATACAGAGAGACCGACCGACCCCAGAGATACAGAGAGACCGACCGACCCCAGAGAGACCGACCGACCCCCGAGAGACCGACCGACCCCAGAGATACAGAGACCGACCGACCCCAGAGAGACAGAGAGAACGACCGACCCCCGAGAGACGGAGAGACCGACCGACCCCCGAGAGACCGACCGACCCCAGAGATACAGAGAGACCGACCAACCCCAGAGAGACGACTGACCCCAGAGAGACCTAATATGATAACGTATTATCTATATCAAACTCAAGGAAAAGTACAAATTATCCAGTTTTTCATCAAAGAAAGAATCAACTTTCTAAATTTGATTTCTGTCCCTGGACTCTAGATTCTGTCCGTGAGTCAGTGGAGATTTGGACAAACCCAGGCTCTTGTTTAACAATAGCTCACATAACTCCTTTTCCTTCCTGCTCTGGAGGAAGACAGACTTGAAGGCGCGAGAACATGTCACAAATACTACAAACTTAAAGGGGAGGTGGCATGCTCCTGTCGGCTCTGAGGGAGTCTATGACCGGGGTTCAGAAGGTTCAGGCCCGACATGAGAGACCCCTGCTGAAGGATACAACTGAAAGCACTGTTAATGTGAAGTGGAAAAGCTAGCTCAGGCTAATAGCGCAAACGGTTGTGTAGTCTATGGTTGTATTCTCTTTCTGGTCTCTGTCTCTGGTTAGTCTCTTTGATCTTTCTATGGTCTCTATCTGGTCCCTCTCTGGTCACTCAACTCTCTCTCTGATCTCTCTGGTATCTCTCTGAACTCTTGCTGGTCTCTCTCTCTCTTGTTTCTCTCTTGTTTCTCTCTGGTCTCTCTCTGGTCTCTCTCTAGTGCTCTCTTTGGTCTCTCTCTAGTTCTCTCTCTGGTCCCTCTCTTTGCTCACTCTGGTCTCTCTCTCTGGTCCCTCTCTCTGCTCTCTCTGGTCCCCCACTCTGGTCTCACTCTAGTCATCTGTGTCTCTCAGTCCTTCAGAGTAGTGGGGAGTTCCCTCTCAGAGTTCCCTCCATCAGATTAGACCCTGCAGCTCCATGTGACGGTTACAGCTGGAGCTAATCACTCTGTGCCACACGTCCACCAGAAACAGGACCAGAAAAATCACATGGTGCTGCACCAGAACCAAGACTCATTGTTTCACTGAGAGATCATAGTGAAGGAGCCAACAGAAGCCCTGTTTCCACCAGCTCTGTACTCTACTCTTCTCTACTTTACCCTACTCTACTGTACTGTACCCTACTTTACCCTACTTTACTCTACTCTACCCTACTCTACTCTACTCTACTATACTGTACCCTACTTTACTCTACTCTACTCTACTCTACTATACTGTACCCTACTTTACTCTACTCTACTCTACTCTACTCTACTATACTGTACCCTACTTTACTCTACTCTACTCTACTCTACTATACTGTACCCTACTTTACTCTACTCTACTCTACTCTACTATACTCTACCCTATTTACCCTACTTTACCCTACTCTACTCTACTCTACTCTACCCTCCCCTAATTGGGAGTGTTTCCTCTGGTCCTCCTTAACTAGTACCAAGTCCTTTATTAGTCCCTCTTGGTCCTGGTTCTATCCAGGCCGAGCTGCTGCTAAAGAGAGTAGAGTAGAGTAGAGTAGAGTAGAGTAGAGTAGAGTAGAGTAGAGTAGAGTAGAGTAGAGTAGAGTAGAGTAGAGTAGAGTAGAGTAGAGTAGAGTAGAGTAGAGTAGAGTAGAGTAGAGTAGAGTAGAGTCCTGCTTTTACCTCTCAGTCGTTTCTCACCACAGCACTTTCACACTAATGCAGCTGTCCTCGTGTCACTTCTCAGAACACAGACGCACAATACAAATAAACTGGATTAAAGCTGAAGTTCCTGACTTTCAGACCACAAACATGTAAAGGACGTAAAAAGACCCACTGTCGCTAGTTCTCACGTGTGTGTGTTTCTATTATTGGCTTCTGTCACATCTTTAGATCTGCTATTTATACTCTCTCTCTGGTCTCTCTCTAGTCTCTCTCTAGTCTCTCCCTGGGATCTCTCTGGTCTCTCTCTGGTCTCTCTCTGGTTTCTCTCTGGTCTCTCTGGTCTCTCTCTAGTCTCTCTGTTCCCTCTCTGGTCTCTCTCTGGTCTCTCTCTGGTCTCTGCTCTCTCTCTGGTGTCTCTTTAGTTAGTCTGAAAGCTTTAATATAGTTCTGTTTGGTTTGTTCCATGTCCTGATGCTGCCGCTGATCTCAGGACTATGTCAACAATAAGGTAAGATACCGCTGAGTTCATGATTATTGCTCTGGTCCAGTGTTTCTCAACATGTGGGTCATGGGGTCTTTCTAGGAAAACATTTCAAACATATGTATTGACTGCTGCATTGGCAGAGTGGTTAGTGCTTGTGCTTTTCAACAGCAAGGTACTGTTTTCCTGCCAATAAAAACCTTTGCAATAGTCCCTCGTAAGACCCCACTGGTCTCTCTCTCTCTGGTCTCTCTCTGGTCTCTCTCAGGTCCCTTTTTTTGCTTTCTCTCTGGTCTCTCTCTTTGGTCTCTCTTTGGTCCCTTTTTCTGCTTTCTCTCTGGTCTCTCTCTCTCTCTCTCTGGTCTCTCTTTGGTCCCTTGTTCTGCTTTCTCTCTGGTCTCTCTCTCTCTCTCGCTGGTCTCTCTTTGGTCCCTTGTTCTGCTTTCTCTCTGGTCTCTCTCTTTCTGGTCTCTCTGGTCTCTCTCTGATCTCTCTCTTTGGTCTCTCTTGCACTCACCCTTCTCCTCCTCCTCTCCTCCCCCCTCTCCCTGAGGTCGCACACTGAGTCTGGTTTATTTGTGGACAAGAGGATGGACTTTACGAGCTTTTATTGAACTGTAATAACATCAGGGTCCATTATCGCCGCGGCCCGAGTCTGGACTCTCTGGGTTTCTCTTAATGGAGCGAGTGAGAAACAAGTGAATGAAGCTCCAGAGAAGGAGCCGCGGAGGCTGAATGCAGGCTCCCGTCTCGTTTACAACATTTATTTTTGTTATCTCTGTTTGACTCATATGGTATTTTAAACATTTATCTTTGCTACGTCTGGGCTTTTGCGAGAAGAGTTCCTGTTCATTAAGTGTCTTCTGATCTGTGTAAGCATAGACTGAGAGAGACCAGAGTGAGAGAGACCAGAGTGAGAGAGACCAGAGTGAGAGAGACCAGAGTGAGAGAGACCAGAGTGAGAGAGACCAGAGTGAGAGAGACCAGAGTGAGAGAGACCAGAGTGAGAGAGACCAGAGTGAGAGAGACCAGAGTGAGAGAGACCAGAGTGAGAGAGACCAGAGAGAGAGACCAAAGAGAGAGAGTGAGAGAGAGACCAGTGTGGCCAGAGAGAGACTGACCAGAGAGTAGCATTTGTGATTTTCTAATTGCGACCACCATAATTGTGATGCAGCCCCTAGTTCCACAGGTCCAAACGACACGCCTGCCTTTCCCTCTGTTGTCCGCAGTGCACACAGCTCATGCTAACAGCTTCTTCAGTGATCGCTCTTCTGTTCTGCCATATTTCTGTGTGTATTTCTCTTCTCCCACGTTTGACTTCATTCCCATTGATTTGGAAACGTGAGCCGGCACTGTCTGTGTGTTAGCCGCGCATGCTAGCTCCAGGTCACTTCATTAAGAGGCTTCTCTGGTGTTTCCCCGAAGTCTGAGGTCTGAGCCGAGGTCACGGCTCTCCTCTGGAACAGTAGATCCACTCCGGGATCAGACTACACACGTCTGCGGATCCCAGGGTTTAATTTATTTGTGTTGTTGTCTCAGAGACTTTACAAAGTTGTGGATTCACCGACAACAAATCAGAGAATCAAACAGTGCGAACACATGGAATGGAATAATAACAAACACATAAAGCATTGGTTCAGAGGGAGTGGGACTGAGGCTGTGGATCCAGGAGAGACTAGAGAGAGAGAGACCATAGAGAGAGAGGGAGAGACCAGAGAGAGAGACCATAGAGAGGGCGAGAACAGAGTGGGAGAGAGCAGAGAGAGAGAGGGAGAGACACGAGGGAGAGACCAGTGAGAGAGTGGGAGAGACCAGAGAGAGAGTGGGAGAGACCAGAGAGAGAGTGGGAGAGAGCAGAGAGAGAGAGGGAGAGACACGAGGGAGAGACCAGTGAGAGAGTGGGAGAGACCAGAGAGAGAGTGGGAGAGACCAGAGAGAGAGTGGGAGAGAGCAGAGAGAGAGAGGGAGAGACACGAGGGAGAGACCAGTGAGAGAGTGGGAGAGACCAGAGAGAGAGTGGGAGAGACCAGAGAGAGAGTGGGAGAGACCCGAGAGAGAGTGGGAGAGACCCGAGAGAGAGTGGGAGAGACCCGAGAGAGAGTGGGAGAGACCAGAGAGAGAGTGGGAGAGACCAGAGAGTGGGAGAGACCCGAGAGAGAGTGGGAGAGACCCGAGAGAGAGTGGGAGAGACCCGAGAGAGAGTGGGAGAGACCCGAGAGAGAGTGGGAGAGACCCGAGAGAGAGTGGGAGAGACCCGAGAGAGAGTGGGAGAGACCCGAGAGAGAGTGGGAGAGACCCGAGAGAGAGTGGGAGAGACCCGAGAGAGAGTGGGAGAGACCCGAGAGAGAGTGGGAGAGACCCGAGAGAGAGTGGGAGAGACCCGAGAGAGAGTGGGAGAGACCCGAGAGAGAGTGGGAGAGACCGAGAGAGAGTGGGAGAGACCCGAGAGAGAGTGGGAGAGACCCGAGAGAGAGTGGGAGAGACCCGAGAGAGAGTGGGAGAGACCCGAGAGAGAGTGGGAGAGACCCGAGAGAGAGTGGGAGAGACCCGAGAGAGAGTGGGAGAGACCCGAGAGAGAGTGGGAGAGACCCGAGAGAGAGTGGGAGAGACCCGAGAGAGAGTGGGAGAGACCCGAGAGAGAGTGGGAGAGACCCGAGAGAGAGTGGGAGAGACCCGAGAGAGAGTGGGAGAGACCCGAGAGAGAGTGGGAGAGACCCGAGAGAGAGTGGGAGAGACCCGAGAGAGAGTGGGAGAGACCCGAGAGAGAGTGGGAGAGACCCGAGAGAGAGTGGGAGAGACCCGAGAGAGAGTGGGAGAGACCCGAGAGAGAGTGGGAGAGACCCGAGAGAGAGTGGGAGAGACCCGGAAGAGAGAGTGGGAGAGACCCGAGAGAGAGTGGGAGAGACCCGAGAGAGAGTGGGAGAGACCCGAGAGAGAGTGGGAGAGACCCGAGAGAGAGTGGGAGAGACCCGAGAGAGAGTGGGAGAGACCCGAGAGAGAGTGGGAGAGACCCGAGAGAGAGTGGGAGAGACCCCGAGAGAGAGTGGGAGAGACCCGAGAGAGAGTGGGAGAGACCCGAGAGAGAGTGGGAGAGACCCGAGAGAGAGTGGGAGAGACCCGAGAGAGAGTGGGAGAGACCCGAGAGAGAGTGGGAGAGACCCGAGAGAGAGTGGGAGAGACCCGAGAGAGAGTGGGAGAGACCCGAGAGAGAGTGGGAGAGACCCGAGAGAGAGTGGGAGAGACCCGAGAGAGAGTGGGAGAGACCAGAGAGACAAGGGAGAGACCAGAGAGAGACCAAGAGAGAGGGAGAGACCAGAGAGAGGGAGAGGGGAGAACCAACAAGACAGGGAGAGAGACCAGAGAGAGGGAGAGACCAGAGAGAGAGAGGGAGAGACCAGAGAGGAAGAGACCAGAGAGAGAGAGATGGAGACCAGAGAGAGAGAGAGAGGGATGGAGACCCAGAGAAGAGAGAGAGAGGGACCAGAGACAGAGACCAGAGAGGGATGAGAGACCAGAGAGAGAGAGAGGGATGGAGACCAGAGAGAGAGAGAGGGATGGAGACCAGAGAGAGAGAGAGGGATGGAGACCAGAGAGAGAGAGGGATGGAGACCAGAGAGAGAGAGAGGGATGGAGACCAGAGAGAGAGAGGGATGGAGAGAGGGAGAGACCAGAGAGAGGGAGAGACCAGAGAGAGAGGGAGAGACCGAGAGACCAGAGAGAGAGAGAGAGGGAGAGAGAGAGAGAGAGAGAGAGGGGAAGAGAGACCAGAGAGACCAGAGAGAGAGACCAGGATTCCATTGTCCTTTTAAAAAATGTTTAAATTGTCTTGTTGTTTCAGAGCCACGACACTGTACGACCGTCCGGCTTCAGTCTTTAAAGAAACCTCCGTGAAACAGAGACACAGGCTCTTTATGAAACTCAGTGAGACTTATCCAGCCTTCAGACACAAGGGGTAAGAGACACACACATTTCTGGTCTCTCTCATACACAACCTTTGTCAGTTTCTCAACGTGGGTGTGTCTCTGTTCAGGTCGGAGAAGTGCTCAGATGTGGAGCAGACTGCGTTCACAATTAAATATTTAAATAAAGATACAGTGGATTTGAAAGAGAAGAGACCAGCTCTGCTCATCAGCAGCACCAGCTGGACGGGTCAGTACCACTGCTGAGACACAGGGGGCGCAACAACCTGGACAAATTCAAATGATATTTATTTGGGGCTCTTCCTTACATGAAATATAAAGTTTTCTGAAAAGATGAAGACTATTACATTATTTTAGTTTCCTCAGTTTAGGGATGAAATGCCAAGATTTGAGATGCTCTTGTTCCAATCCTTACTCTGCTGTTCCACAGAGGACGAGGACTTCTCTGTTCTGCTGAAGGCTCTGGAAGGTATCTGGGACCATCTGGGACCATGTGTTTGAATCGGCTCTCATAGTTCTGACTGTTTTGTTTGTTTCTAACAGAATATGAAATGATGGTCAAAGAAGGAGCAGCTTTACCTCAACTAGTGTGTGTCATCACAGGTACATGATTTATAGTCATGGTCTCTCTCTGGTCTCTCTCTCTGGTCTCTAACAGTCCTGAACCCTCTCCCCAGGGAAAGGTCCTCAGAAGGAGTACTACTGTTCTGTCATTGAGTCTCTGAGTTTGGAGCATGTTCAGATCTGCACTCCGTGGCTCCAGGCCGAGGACTATCCTGTGTTACTGGGTACGGCTCCTCACACCTGGTTCGTGTCTCTCTGATCTCTCTCTCTGGTTCACATCTCTCTGGTCCTTCAGGTTCCTCAGACCTGGGTGTGTGTCTCCACGTCTCGTCCTCTGGTCTGGATTTACCCATGAAAGTGGTCGACATGTTCGGCTGCTGTCTGCCGGTCTGCGCCATCCACTTCAACTGGTCAGTGTTACACAGGTGCAATGTGAGGACACAGGTGTAATGTGAGGTCTGTGACACAGGTGTAATGTGAGGTCTGTGACACAGGTGTATTGTGAGGTCTGTGACACAGGTGTAATGTGAGGTCTGTGACACAGGTGTATTGTGAGGTCTGTGACACAGGTGTAATGTGAGGTCTGTGACACAGGTGTATTGTGAGGTCTGTGACACAGGTGTATTGTGAGGTCTGTGACACAGGTGTATTGTGAGGTCTGTGACACAGGTGTAATGTGAGGTCTGTGACACAGGTGTATTGTGAGGTCTGTGACACAGGTGTAATGTGAGGTCTGTGACACAGGTGTAATGTGAGGTCTGTGACACAGGTGTATTGTGAGGTCTGTGACACAGGTGTAATGTGAGGTCTGACACAGGTGTAATGTGAGGTCTGTGACACAGGTGTATTGTGAGGTCTGTAGCACAGGTGTAATTTGAGGTCTGTAAAACAGGTGTAATGTGAGGACACAGGTGTAATGTGACATCACAGCTGTATCTCTCTACAGTTTGCATGAGTTGGTGAAACACGAGGAGAACGGTCTGATCTTCAAAGATTCTCATGAACTGACTCTACAGCTGCAGGTGCGTCACTGTTTCAGTTTCCTACAAACTGAGGATTTAGCTCGGTCCAAACAGAGAGGATTCTGGGAGAAACACAGCCACAGAGAGAGAGAGACAACATGGACCAAAGAGAGGATGTGTGGATAAATGGTGCCATGTGAAAGGAACAAAGCAAAATGTTTCTCTTTTTACTATTATCTTTCTTTATCAGTCGTATTCTTCACTTAGACCTGACACACAGCAGCAAATCCTTTCCTCACCGGAGAGAAAGAGAAACCTCCAGAATCACCAGAAATGATGTCTCTCGTGCTACACATGCTAAAGCTGCTGGAGGGTTTCTCTCACTCTTCTCTTCGCTCTCGTTCAGACTCTACTGATGGACTTCCCGTCGGCTGCAGAGAGTGGGAGACTGGCCTCTTTCAGGAAAAGTCTCCGTCAGACCAGAGACCAGAGCTGGGACCAGAACTGGGACCAGAATGTGCTACCACTCCTCCAACACTGACCAGAACTGGGACCAGAGGGCAGCGAGAGAGACCCCTTGTGTTGGTGTGGGAGAGACATCAACAAACATTAGATTACAGAGTATGTTCAAAGAATGTCAATTTGGACCCAATTCCTCTGGTCTCTCTCGTGCGTATTCTGTATTCTGATGCTTTATAATCGTGGGTGTGGAAGGACATGAGCCCTGTGATGTCACATGTTTTGTTTACATTGAAGAGTTGAGCCTTGGACCAAAGACGCAGAAGTGAAACTTCTTACTTTTGTAAAATGACCTTGATGCTGTGCAAAATACAAAAAAGACTTTTATTAAGTATTTTTGTGCAGTTTGATCATTTCTATGTGAGATTCTCTGCTGTAGGGGAAGACTGTTCTGACCGGAGCAGACAGCGCCACCTGGAGGATCCCAGCTGCGTCTGTAAACAACATTAACAGACAATAAAGCTGCGGTACGTAACTTTCAAACCACAACAAAACTATGGAATAAAATTAGGGATGTCAAACGATAACACATTTTTAGTTGATTAATCGCACAGAAATGGTGAGTTAACTCACGATTAATCGCATTCAACATTCTATTTCAAATTCACTCCAATTGAAGTTAAATGAGATTATCAAATATAATGACCCATTGTCATTCAGACCAAAAGTACTTAAATCTGATTTGCTCACAACCTTTTACTTTTGGGCACAACCAAAATGGGCTGTTAATGAAAGGGGGAAATTTACATACCCCAGCTTTAATTCAGCGAGTTTATTTTCAGGAGGAGACACGGACACTTTAGTGGTGTATTTGTGTGCACAGGTTACGCACAGTTTGCAAAGACACGAACACAACATGCAAACAATAGTTTTGTGGCGTGTTTGGTCTTATATGACCATGTTACCGCGGCGCCACTCGCTCACAGCCGTGTTGTTGTTGGCGGCTCACAGCCGTGTTGTTGTTGGCGGCTCACAGCCGTGTTGTTGTTGGCGGCTCACAGCCGTGTTGTTGTTGGCCGCGGAGGAGGCGGACTTCAGTTCACAGCAAACAACAGCCCAGCGGTCACACGCGTATTCTTTTAAAACATGAATTCCCAGAGGTTCTACCTGCTCTGATGCATCTCACACGCAGCATTCTGAGTGATATTATGGATAAATGGGCGGGTCATTCGGACATGCGTTAATTTTTTTTAAAGCGTTAATGAAAAATGTAATTAACGTGAGTTAACGCGATAAATTTGACAGCCCTAAACAAAATACATGTCACTAGTTCAACCAGAGAGAGAGAGATCAGAGGGCAAACATGTTTCCATAGTGAACAAGCCGTTTGTGTTCTTTGACTACATTTCCCATGATGCCGCTCACCCAGCTGCTGCTTGAAGTCTCTGTATGTGTCTGGGTTCCTGATGGTGGAGCAGATGAAGACGTCGAGAGTCGAGCTCAAGATCCGAGAAAGAAGAGAAACCAGGTGGACCACCACCTCCGGGTCATACACCACATCTGAGGGAGACACCAGATATCACAGACAGATCAGAGACCAGATCAGAGACCAGAAAGATCTAACTGTAGTTTGTTTCAAACCTGCAGCGATGATGGTATCTGCCTCCAGATCTCGCAGCTGCTCCTCTGTCACTGAAGCCCAGTCCAGCTCCACCACACTGACCTGGGACCAGAGGGAGAGGACCATGTGTGTGTCACAGAGAGATGTGTCAGACTCTCAGGCCATAGGACCATGTGTGTGGTACCTGGTTCTGGAGGTGGTTCAGGGTCAGGTTCTCCTCCAGTCTGTTGAGGACCTTTGGGTGGACGTCGCTAAAGGTGAAGCTGGAGGGAGAACACGACGAGCAGATGGTGATCCCAGTGAGACCACTCCCACTGCCCAGCTCCAGAACCCTCCTGACCACAGAGGAGAGGTTATTTGTATAGCACAGTTAACACACAGGGAGCTCATGGGTTTCTATCTCTCTCTGGTCTCGCCTGTCTCTGAAGTACTGTTGATGGTCCAGGGCCCACTCTGCGAGGTAGAGAGAGGCCTCCCAGGTCACCAGCCCCGTCGTCCCCTGAGAAACCATCGCCACATTCTCCTGCAGCGTCACAGCGCCACCACCAGGCTGCAGAGAGAGAGAGACAGGGAAGAGAGCATTGGATGTGTGTTCGTTCTCTCTATCCATCTATGGCTCGATCGGCACTAGATCATAATGGAATCAGAAGCAACAATCCTACTTTCAAATTAGTTTTAGACTAATTGGTCCTTAAGTGGTGACAGGTTAAGTTTTAGGTGTCCGAGTAAGATGGTTAAGGTAAAGGTGGTCTGAGTAAGATGGTTAAGATTAAGCTTAAGGTGGTCTGAGTAAGATGGTTAAGGTTAGGTTTAAGGCTGGGTTGGGGTTATTCTTTGGGAATGGCTGGTTAAGTTTAGGCATGAATAGGTAGTTGGTTATATTTACTTCCGCTTCCGTCCCAATTCCGTACATGATCTAGTGCTGACCGTTTACCAGCTTCAGCTTAGGGTCGGAATCCATAACCAGAAGAGTTACCAGGAAGTAGGACTTGTAGCAGACGACGGCCTCCTCTTCGCCGATCACTGCAGCCAGAGCATCATAGAGCAGGTCCACAGAGTCACAGCAGGAGGCCTCCAGCTGCAGCACAAACATCTCAGTCTCACCTTCACCAGAACGAGCCTCAGGACATTTATATCTATCTATGAAATCCACAGGAGGAAGGAGTCCAACTGAGACGTCAAAGTCATGAAGTTAGTCCAAGACACAGACTGTATACAGAGGCAGGTCTCTCTCTCTCTCTATTGTCTGTGTCCCTCTCAGGTCGCACTCCGGTCTCTCTCTCTCGCACTCCGGTCTCTCTCTCTCGCACTCTGGTCTCTCTCTCTCGCACTCTGGTCTCTCGCACTCTGGTCTCTCTCTCTCGCACTCTGGTCTCTCTCTCTCTCTCGCACTCTGGTCCCTCTCTCTCGCACTCTGGTCCCTCTCTCTCGCACTCTGGTCCCTCTCTCTCGCACTCTGGTCCCTCTCTCTCGCACTCTGGTCCCTCTCTCTCGCACTCTGGTCCCTCTCTCTCGCACTCTGGTCCCTCTCTCTCGCACTCTGGTCCCTCTCTCTCGCACTCTGGTCCCTCTCTCTCGCACTCTGGTCCCTCTCTCTCGCACTCTGGTCCCTCTCTCTCGCACTCTGGTCCCTCTCTCTCGCACTCTGGTCCCTCTCTCTCGCACTCTGGTCCCTCTCTCTCGCACTCTGGTCCCTCTCTCTCGCACTCTGGTCCCTCTCTCTCGCACTCTGGTCCCTCTCTCTCGCACTCTGGTCCCTCTCTCTCGCACTCTGGTCCCTCTCTCTCGCACTCTGGTCCCTCTCTCTCGCACTCTGGTCCCTCTCTCTCGCACTCTGGTCCCTCTCTCTCGCACTCTGGTCCCTCTCTCTCGCACTCTGGTCCCTCTCTCTCGCACTCTGGTCCCTCTCTCTCGCACTCTGGTCCCTCTCTCTCGCACTCTGGTCCCTCTCACTCGCACTCTGGTCCCTCTCACTCGCACTCTGGTCCCTCTCTCTCGCACTCTGGTCCCTCTCTCTCGCACTCTGGTCCCTCTCTCTCGCACTCTGGTCTCCCTCTCTCTCTCGCACTCTGGTCCCTCTCTCTCGCACTCTGGTCTCTCTCTCTCGCACTCTGGTCTCTCGCACTCTGGTCCCTCTCTCTCGCACTCTGGTCTCTCTCTCTCGCACTCTGGTCTCTCTCTCTCGCACTCTGGTCTCTCTCTCTCGCACTCTGGTCTCTCTCTCTCGCACTCTGGTCTCTCTCTCTCGCACTCTGGTCTCTCTCTCTCGCACTCTGGTCTCTCTCTCTCGCACTCTGGTCTCTCTCTCTCGCACTCTGGTCTCTCTCTCTCGCACTCTGGTCTCTCTCTCTCGCACTCTGGTCTCTCTCTCTCGCACTCTGGTCTCTCTCTCTCGCACTCTGGTCTCTCTCTCTCGCACTCTGGTCTCTCTCTCTCGCACTCTGGTCTCTCTCTCTCGCACTCTGGTCTCTCTCTCTCTCGCACTCTGGTCTCTCTCTCTCTCGCACTCTGGTCTCTCTCTCTCTCGCACTCTGGTCTCTCTCTCTCTCGCACTCTGGTCTCTCTCTCTCTCGCACTCTGGTCTCTCTCTCTCTCTCGCACTCTGGTCTCTCTCTCTCTCGCACTCTGGTCTCTCTCTCTCTCGCACTCTGGTCTCTCTCTCTCTCGCACTCTGGTCTCTCTCTCTCTCGCACTCTGGTCTCTCTCTCTCTCGCACTCTGGTCTCTCTCTCTCTCGCACTCTGGTCCCTCTCTCTCGCACTCTGGTCTCTCTCTCTCGCACTCTGGTCTCTCTCTCTCGCACTCTGGTCTCTCTCTCTCGCACTCTGGTCTCTCTCTCTCGCACTCTGGTCTCTCTCTGGTCCCCAAATACGTGTTAGCACTACTGTAGCTGTTCCGTCTCTGTCTTTAAACACGGCCCGATGTGTAATAACAGTAAGAGTCTGACCCTCTTGATGAGCTCGCAGATGAAGACCCGTCTGTATCGGACCGAAGGGGGGAACTCTGAGCACAGCGGGTGGCAGCAGGTCTGAGAAACACGAGAACCACTGAGACGCACATGAAAACAACTGATACACAAGTACAACTCTGATTATGTTTTTACCTGATTCAGGATCTGTGAAATTATGTCTGTGGATTTACTGCGTTCAAGTTCATCTTCTACAATCTGTGAGACGGACAAAACAGCCTCAGTCCTGGGTCTACAGCCTCAGTCCTGGGTCTACAGTCTACAGCCTCAGTCCTGGGTCTACAGCCTCAGTCCTGCTCCCTATGGACCACTGGCTCCTATTTTGTTGTTTGTTATTATGGCATTTCCTGTGCTTGAACTGTTTTGATTCTCTGATCTGTTGTTGGTGAATCCACAACTTTGGAAAGTAATCAGAGACGACTGCTGCTGTGATTTAGGGTGACACCATTCAATTCAATGTATTTGTGAAAGACTCAAAAGTATTTTCCTCTGGTCTAGGTTTTGGTCTGTCACATCTTGAGATCATTTTTTCAGGCACCAAAGTGACTCACAGGGATCTTGCACATCAGATCACATATTTCTATATCAGATGAAGCCTGAAGTCTCACCGTCCAGGGCAGAGACGCCACACGAGTCATGGAGAAGAACTGGTCTCGGAATCTTTGTCCTACATCATCTACTGCAGCGGAACCACGCGTCACGTCTGTCATGGTTCCACACGAGGACCATAGACACAACCATAGGCTGGAAATACGTTTTAATTATAGATCCATGGGAAATACTAGTACATGACACACACATATATATGTGTATATACTGGTACATACACACACACGTGCGCGGCTACAGCTGACTGACTGAACCACCCACTGCGCATGCGTAACCAGCGTTGTCGCCTTCCAGGACCGTAGGGGAAAACATTCAGAAAAATATAGTGGGGAAATGTCAGTGTTGCATCACCAGTTACAGAAGAGTAGCAATGAGGAGCACACAGCACAAGATAAATGAACAATAACTCTATACTCAAATCAAATCTCTCACTTAGCACATGTTTGTGTATTTTCTCAGTCGTACAGGGATTAGTCAAAGCAAAGGAAGGTTTCTCACCCATCATCTGTACAGATAATGGGTGAGAAACCTTCCTATACTATTGTACACGGCATACCTTATATCTAATATCTTATTTTACCTTTTAACTGTTTTGGACCTTTCCTGAATATTTGCACCTGACTGATCTTTGAATCAATATCAATATGAAATGTTCGAAAGCTCCAATCGTCAACATGATTTGTTATTTCCAGAACATCTGAAATGAAGGAGTGAAACTTTATTTGTATGGCACTAACATAGATTTGGGGCCTTTTATAATAACGATGACGTTCAGTTTAGAAATTAATAATTAAACGAATAAAACTAAATTAAATGATGTATAACAATATTATGATGAATGTACCTAAATAAGTAATACACAAAAAGGAACTGAAAAGAATAAAATATTGTGACATGATCTTGATATAATAAAGAGGGGACACCTTATTGGCTGCTGGGGCACAACAAATGCGGCCGCCATCTTGGAACGGTCATTCTACTCGTAAACCTCCAAAGCAGCGCGATGCCTGAGCACTGTGCGGCCTATGGCTGTCAAAACAGGCGGACAATTCAAAGCAAGGCTCGGGGGATTACTTTTCACAAGTAAGATTAAACATTATTATTGGTTGTACCTTGTCAATAGATTATTACTGAACTGCATTTACGTTCCCCAACATCAGACCACAGAACATCTGACTGTAGAATAGCAAACAAGCTAATTCACAATTTCAGCATCTTTAGTTCATTATCAAATTACGAGATTTGTTGTAGAATGGTTCTAAGAAATATGAAGGAAAAAGTAAATATCCCCCGTCTGCGCATGCGTCTCTAGCAGCGCCGCCTTCTCGGACCTTCGGAGAAAACACCTTCAGAAACAGTGGGGAAATGTCAGTGTTGTATCAGCAGTTACAGAACAGTAGGAATGAGGAGCACACAGCACAAGATAAACAACAATAACTCCTCACTAAGATATAATAAAGACTAACTTTACTATGATAAAGAAGCAAGAATAATATATTGTTTATTCTAGTGCAACAAATAGTTTTATGTTTACATAATGCACATTAGACCTTATATCTGATTATATTACTTTTTACTTTTTAACTGTTTTGCACATTTCCTGAATATTTGCACCTGACTGATCTTATTGAAGCCAAATGTAACACGTACATTTATCTGTGAAATCCATAAAGTTGTATCTTCTCTTCAATGTGCACCTGACTGATCTTTACATTTCATTTCTACTCAATATGAATATGAAAAGTTGTTTTTCCTCGGGCTCCAATCTTCAACATGTTTTGTTATTGGCAGAACATTTACTTTTTTGTATGGCATGAAGATAGATGTTGGGCCTCAAACCCAATTGAATAATAACGATGTTTAAAAAAACAAATTAATAACCTAAATGAAATTACAACATTATTAAGATAAAATAAGATATTACATGAAATCATTTACTACTATAATAATTATTACTATAATAATTGACTACACAAAAACGTTAAATAAAATCAAATAGAATAAAATAATATGAAAATGAGTGGTTGAACTGCGCATGCGTCGCCGCCATCTTGGAGCTGTTCGTGTGGCTGTTGTTGAACAAACTGAAGTGTGTCTATCTTCACGAACAGAGCGCGTTCAAAGACACAAAATGCCTCCTCAGTGCGGTGCGATCGGTTGTTCGAACAAAGTTGACGCGGAGTCGAAACGGCTCGGTATTTCGTTCCACAGGTGAGGAGCTGGAAGCGGCTGTTGGGGAGAGGGGACGATCCGAGCGCGTTCGGCGGCCGCCATGTTGGCTATGTCGAGGGGACCAGACTCCACTGGGACCATGTGGGACCATGTGGAATCATGTTTACAGTTTCTAATGCTGTGTGTTTGTGTGTGTATACATATACCTATTTATTATATGTGTATTTGCACATGATGAGTGTGGGATCCATGTAGTGTTTACTGCTGCATTAGAATAAGTTGTGATGATGGTGAGTTAGATTAACCCTTGTATTATGTTAAGGGTCAATTTGACCCATTTCAGTTTTTGTGTTGATCAAAGTACTGGTTATCCTTTCTTTTTCTTGCTGAAATCTGGTGACTTTTTCTCATCTAGGGTCATGAACTGATGTGTAAAATCTGGACACTTTGATGTGTAGTGGAATGTCTGTGCAGAGTTTGTATACAAAGATGATGTTGCGGGTCATTTTGACCCAGACGCTTTAATGTGGGTAAATAGTTGTTCAGATCCAAAAAAAACATGTCTCTTTGACATTGTATTTTGATTGCCTCTGAGAGCCAGAGCCAGGTGTGTGAAGAGAAGGAACTTTCTCACACTTGTTCTTGTCACTGTTTTCATGTCATCTCTTTTGCCTAGCGTACATCGGACTGGCAACTGATTATATCCATCGCCTTTGAGTGGCTGCCCTGCACACATCGACAATCTGGCGAAAACGGGCACCTCCTAGTAGCAGACCAGTCTCGGGAATAACAGCGCGTACATCGACAGCAACTGGCCTCAACTACAGTGTGTTTCTGACATAAACTGTCGAGGGCGCAATACACACAATACGCACATGTTGTTGGAGCGCGCCATGGATCTATTAGGAGCGCGCACATCCAGTGATATCACCGGATCTGAGTACAACTAGTTGCAGAAAAGTAGAACACGGGCAACCAACTGAATCCGGAGATCGACTGTTTATCTCCAGTTGTAAGAGCGCTCACATCTGATAACAACTGATCATCTCCATCATCTACTCTCAGTTGCCAAAAGCCGCCTTCAACTAGTTGTCTCCAGTTACTCTGTCGATGTACACTAGGCTTTAGACAAACTCCCCAAAAATGAGCTCCAGAAAGATGACATCTGAGGAGGCTTTATCACAGATTTTTAACTGGGATAATTATGTAGAGGAAGAGATTTCAGAAACAGAGGATTTTTCAGAGACAGAGGACAGTGTTATTGCTGATCCAGATTGTCAATTTTCCTACGATAAGGAGGATTCAGAGGACGAATCTTTGGTCAAATAAAGAGGAAGGGAGGAAGGAAAGAAGGAAGGAAGAGAAAAGAAGGGAATAGAGGAGGATGAACAGAGAGAAGGAAAACAGGATGAGAAAAAGGAAGGAGAAAGCATGGCAGGAGGAAAGAAGGAGGGAAGAATTGTCATTTTGACCCGAGAGGAGGACAAGAAGATTAGACTAAATTTTTCTTTAATATAGCGTTGGAATAAGACATTTATTGTAGGTCACTTTTCTAAATATTTATATAACCTAATATAAAGTTAATATAAACCTAATTTTATTGGTTTAACCAAAATGACCCGCAACATAATCAATGTAATTTTTTTTCAACATAATACAAGGGTTAAGAAGAGATCCTTTTATTCGTCCCACGGTGGGGAAATGTCAGTGTTGCATCAGCAGTTAAAGAACAGTAGGAATGGGGAGCACACTGCACATACTAAAATAAAATCTAACTTAAGCATAATAAGTTGTTAAGTAAGATGTCAGCCCTTCCACAGAGTCCATAGAATAGAAACAGGATCTAAAATTAGTGCAATATAAAAGTGATATTCTTTGATTAATCCTAGAGTTAAATATATTTTAGTGTTTATAATTTGAGCTTTGTGTCTTTGGGCCAGACAATTCCCCCATAATCCTAGAATAAATGATCCATACAGGTGTGACATTTAAAAAAAAAAAAAATGGATATAATATCAATTTTGTTTCTGTTTTTTTAGTATTTTGTTTTCAAATTACTATTAATTTAATTTATGTATATCAATGTTCCTTCTTTATATTTTGTTCAGTAAAATATTTTCCGTTTCTCTGATTTATTTTATTTAGTAATACATTTTTCTTACCCATATTTTTATTTTGTTTAATAAGTTTGTTTCCGTAGGCTCAAACATATTACATCCTTCTTATGTCCTTTTGTAAAAACACCTACTGTATGAGTGTATGCTATGGTTTGTTAAAGCAGGAGATCTGTTGCAGAGGGCGGTGTGTGTGTATGTATGTCACAGGGTCCCCACAAGGCCGGAGCTCAGACCCTGTGTGTGTGTGTGTGTTACAGGGTCCGCATGAGGCCGGACCTCAGACCGTGTTGTGTGTGTGTTACAGGGTCCGCATGAGGCAACAGTTCAAAGTCTTGTGTCTTCTGAACCTGTGTGTGTGTGTTACAGGGTCCCCACGAGGCCGGAGCTCAGAGCCCTCTGGAAGAAAGCTCTGAGACGGGACTTTGAGATCACCAAGTACACCCTGATCTGCAGCGCTCACTTTGAGGAGAAGGATATGGACCGGACGGGTCAGACCACACGGCTCCGCGAGGGGGTGGTGCCCTCTGTGTTCAACTTCCCCTTGGAGGACGCAGAGGAACAGGTGACACATGGTCCTCTCCTGCTGGTTTACAATGAGATGTTCTGCTGGTTATGATCTTAAATACGCTAAGTTAACTCTGCACAGATCTATGTTTGTTACAACATTGTCTCTCTTGGGGTCTCTCTCTCTTATCTCTCTCGTGGGGTCTCTCTCTGGTCGCTCTCTCTTGTCTCTCTCTCTGGGGTCTCTCTCTTGTCTCTCTCTCTGGTGTCTCTGATCGTAGAGTTAAATCCTGTTTCTCTCACAGCCGCGCAGATCCAAGAGGAAGAGAATAAAGACTAAAAAGGCAGGAAAAAAACTAGCAGTGAGTAAAGTGTTCTGTGTCAGTCTTCAGTGATAAATATTCAGTCTGACGCTGTTTTTTTTTCTGAAGGGAAGTCCAACTAAACGATCTGGAAAAGTGTATCTCCCAGAGGCTTCGGCCCCGACCAGAGAGGTGAGTCAGCGATGGTGTGTTCCTGGTCCTCACTCTGATGTAACGCTGTGTTTGTCGCTTTCAGCCGACTGCCAGAAAGTCCATCCGCAGCTCTGCTCGACGGGTCATGAAAGTGGAGGCTATGGAAGCAGGTCTGACTGCCGCTGCTGGTCCTTCTGTTGCTGGTGCTGCTGCAACTGCTGGTTCTGATGCTGCTGCTGGTCCCGCTTTCCCTGCTGAGGTAATGAGAAACATGTAAAAACCCTGGTCCCACAGTGAGGACATGTCAGTGTTGAGCACAAAAGGATGCTCCCATAGACTGTACAGATACGGACAATGCTAACCCGCTAGCTTAATAAGGCCCAATAGGGAAGTGCTCATGGTTTTCTCTTTCTCCCTATTGTCTTTCATGAGTTTACATTTCATTTCAATGTAAACTCACTGAGCAGCAGCACAGAGCAGCTCCAGTCTAGTTTCAGTTTTTATTACATCTTCTTAAGTCCAAACGTCTCTCCTCCAGGACCACCACTACGCCATCGACCCGGACAACGTGAAGCAGAAGCTGGACGAGGCGTACGCTCGCATCGACGACCTGCACAAGCAGCTGCGGAACTGCAGAGACCAGATGAGACGCCGAGACGCAGAGTTCGCACTTCTGCTGAACGAGACGGAGAAGCAGAACGCACTGATGCACGAGCTCATGGAGGGCAGCGAACTATGGATCTTCTGCGATAAATGTGGAGCCAAGAAGTGAGGACTGTAGGTCTGGGACTGCAGGTCTGGGACTGCAGGTCTGGGACTGCAGGTCTGGGACTGCAGGTCTGGGACTGTAGGTCTGGGACTGTAGGTCTGGGACTGCAGGTCTGGGACTGTAGGTCTGGGACTGCAGGTCTGGGACTGTAGGTCTGGGACTGTAGGTCTGGGACTGCAGGTCTGGGACTGCAGGTCTGGGACTGCAGGTCTGGGACTGCAGGTCTGGGACTGCAGGTCTGGGACTGCAGGTCTGGGACTGTAGGTCTGGGACTGTAGGTCTGGGACTGCAGGTCTGGGACTGTAGGTCTGGGACTGCAGGTCTGGGACTGTAGGTCTGGGACTGTAGGTCTGGGACTGCAGGTCTGGGACTGCAGGTCTGGGACTGCAGGTCTGGGACTGCAGGTCTGGGACTGCAGTTCTGGGACTGCAGGTCTGGGACTGCAGGTCTGGGACTGTAGGTCTGGGACTGCAGGTCTGGGACTGGAGGTCTGGGACTGCAGGTCTGGGACTGTAGGTCTGGGACTGCAGGTCTGGGACTGCAGGTCTGGGACTGGAGGTCTGGGACTGTAGGTCTGGGACTGCAGGTCTGGGACTGTAGGTCTGGGACTGCAGGTCTGGGACTGCAGGTCTGGGACTGCAGGTCTGGGACTGCAGGTCTGGGACTGTAGGTCTGGGACTGCAGGTCTGGGACTGGAGGTCTGGGACTGCAGGTCTGGGACTGTAGGTCTGGGACTGCAGGTCTGGGACTGCAGGTCTGGGACTGGAGGTCTGGGACTGTAGGTCTGGGACTGTAGGTCTGGGACTGCAGGTCTGGGACTGTAGGTCTGGGACTGCAGGTCTGGGACTGTAGGTCTGGGACTGCAGGTCTGGGACTGTAGGTCTGGGACTGCAGGTCTGGGACTGCAGGTCTGGGACTGCAGGTCTGGGACTGGAGGTCTGGGACTGGAGGTCTGGGACTGTAGGTCTGGGACTGTAGGTCTGGGACTGCAGGTCTGGGACTGTAGGTCTGGGACTGCAGGTCTGGGACTGCAGGTCTGGGACTGTAGGTCTGGGACTGCAGGTCTGGGACTGGAATGGAGCTACACCCAAGAAGATATTAATTTATTGGACCTCAATAAACAATCATTTCAACTTCTCTCTTCAGGACAGAGACCTGAGACCAGGACTAATGCGAATCTGCTTTGATGCCAGAGGAACACTGTGTCTGTGAGAGTGTGGTTTTATTGTTTACATTTGTAAATAGTGTAAATGTTTCTGAGCCTGAGTTTCAGCTGTAAATGAATTGTAAATATTGTATTAAATAAAAGCAGTGAATATTTTTAGCCTGTGTTTTCTCTTCATTCAACACACAGTAGTCTCTAGTCCCCTCTCTCTATGGTCTCCCTCACTTGTCTCTTTCTCTCTCTGGTCTCTCTCTCGTCTCTCTCTCCCTCACTCTCTCGTCTCTCCCTGGTCTCTCTTTTCCTCTCTATGGTCTCTAGTTTCTCTCACTCTTTCTTTGGTCTACCACTGGTCTCTCCCTCTCTCTGGTCTCTCTCTCTCTTTGGTCTCTCCCTCTCTCTGGTCTCTCTCTCTCTTTGGTCTCTCTCTCTCTGGTCTCTCTCTCTCTCTTTGGTCTCTCCCTCTCTCTTTGGTCTCTCCCTCTCTTTGGTCTCTCTCTGGTCTCTCTCTCTCTTTAGTCTCTCTCTGGTCTCTCCCTCTCTCTGGTCTCTCTCTCTCTTTGGTCTCTCTCTCTGGTCTCTCTCTCTCTCTGGTCTCTCTCTCTGGTCTCTCTCTCTCTTTGGTCTCTCTCTCTCTCTGGTCTCTCTCTCTCTCTGGTCTCTCCCTCTCTCTGGTCTCTCTCTCTGGTCTCTCTCTCTGGTCTCTCTCTCTCTCTCTCTCTCTCTCTGGTCTCTCTCTCTCTGGTCTCTCTCTCTCTCTCTCTGGTCTCTCTCTCTCTCTGGTCTCTCCTCTCTCTGGTCTCTCTCTCTCTGGTCTCTCTCTCTCTCTCTCTCTGGTCTCTCTCTCTCTCTGGTCTCTCTCTCTCTCTCTCTCTCTCTCTGGTCTCTCTCTCTCTCTGGTCTCTCTCTCTCTCTGGTCTCTCTCTCTCTGGTCTCTCTCTCTCTCTCTGGTCTCTCTCTCTCTGGTCTCTCTCTCTCTCTCTGGTCTCTCTCTTTCTGGTCTCTCTCTCTCTCTGGTCTCTCTCTCTCTCTGGTCTCTCTCTCTCTCTCTGGCTCTCTCTCTCCTCTCTCTGGTCTCTCTCTCTCTCTTCTCTCTCTCTCTCTGGTCTCTCTCTCTCTCTGGTCTCTCTCTCTCTCTGGTCTCTCTCTCTCTCTCTGGTCTCTCTCTCTCTCTCTGGTCTCTCTCTCTCTGGTCTCTCTCTCTCTCTGGTCTCTCTCTCTCTCTGGTCTCTCCCTCTCTCTGGTCTCTCTCTCTCTCTGGTCTGAGACGTAGATGTTCAGTTGAATGATGGGTTCTTGTCGCTGTTGTGTCAGAATGAGATAAAGACTGTTTGGAAACTCCCCTAACTCTCCATTCAGTCGCAGCTGGAACAGAACTCCACGAGGTCAGTCTGAAATCACACAATGTTTAATGATTGAATGATTTTAATTCAGAATAGGATAGAATAAATAAGTGAAGCGTCACTTTAATAAACAAAGCAGTAGCAGGAGCTCTAAGGTTTGCAATGAGCTGGCTCTGAATAACAGGACCTTAGGATCTGAGACGTTTGGGGGACTACTAGACAGGTGTGGTTTTTTCTATTGCATTAAGACATGAAAATGGAATGCAGCCTGTTTCCAAAATTCTGAAAGGGTTTTTACATTTTAAATGGCAAAATAATTAGTAATAATATATCTATTATTCATCAAACTATAGTTTATGCTTCTTTCGCTAGTTTTCACATCATGTATGTTTGGTCTTTGTCTCATCTTTAGATCAGCTTTTTCAGACAGAAAAGTGAAAAAGAAAAGCTAGAGAAAGATCAGAGGGAAACAAGAGAGAGGAACCAGCTAGAGAGAAAAGAGACCAGAGAGGGAGACCACAGAGAGAGAGGAAGACCACAGAGAGAGAGGGAGACCACATAGAGAGATGGAGACCACAGAGAGAGAGGGAGACCACAGAGAGAGCGGGAGACCACAGAGAGAGATGGAGACCACAGAGAGAGAGGGAGACCACAGAGAGAGAGGGAGACCACAGAGAGAGAGGGAGACCACAGAGAGAGATGGAGACCACAGAGAGAGAGGGAGACCACAGAGAGAGCGGGAGACCACAGAGAGAGATGGAGACCGCAGAGAGAGAGGGAGACCACAGAGAGAGAGGGAGACCACAGAGAGAGATGGAGACCACAGAGAGGGAGGGAGACCACAGAGAGGGAGGGAGACCACAGAGAGATGGAGACCACAGAGAGAGATGGAGACCACAGAGAGGGAGGGAGACCACAGAGAGATGGAGACCACAGAGAGATGGAGACCACAGAGTGAGAGGGAGACCACAGAGAGGGAGGGAGACCACAGAGAGATGGAGACCACAGAGAGATGGAGACCACAGAGAGAGAGGGAGACCACAGAGAGAGAGGGAGACTACAGAGAGAGAGGGAGACCACAGAGACAGAGAGGGAGACCACAGAGAGGGAGGGAGACCAGAGAGAACTTTTTTTCACCAGTTTTCACATCATGTATATTTGGCCTCTGTCCCATCTTTAGATAGAACCGCCCTCCCTCAGCTCCCAACCCAAATAGTCAACTAGTGACTCACAGGGTTCTTTAATAAAAAAACATGTTTTCTATACAGATGAAGAGCAGATTCTCAGGTCCACAACCTTTTATCTGACTCTTTCTGTTATGACAAACAACATGGATGGAGTTGGGTACACTGGCTTTAATTTATCCTTGAATATTATAACTTTTAAAAAACGTGTACTTTACTTATGTACACTTGTATTACAAGTGTATTAATCAGGTTTTTATTGTTATTAAACTACAATTTTTCAAACAAAATGATGTTTATGCGGAACTGTTTGTGGAAAGCAGTTTGTTCCTTCCGGCCCATTTCACGTACGGACTGTCAACAACAAAGATGGCGGCTGTGCGCTCCTAAACCGAAGCGAAGTCTGAGAAAATCATCGCAGTTTTCACACAGTTCTCTTGTAAGTTTTTCGTTTTCTGCTTCAATACACATCATAATTATATGACATGTTTCTGTACACCTCTGCAGATTTAAGCAGTTTTATTTTAATGGCCAATTTTATAAAAAACCTCGTTCAAAACCATAGTGTTCGGATGAATGAGAGGTTGAATGAATTACACTTTGGAGTATGTCATATTCGTACAGAACCGAGCCTGCACACGTAACACGAAATAACATAATTTCAACAGTTTTATCTCTTATTATTATTTATATGTCCCTTGTTTTTGTATTGGAAACCTGTTGACTTACTATATATATATATATCATGATAATTATAATGATATTGACGAGAGTAAGATCTCGTAGATTAGTCTCTTTCTCGTTGTCCCATTAACTGCGAAAATCAATGTTATCTCCCTCTGGCTGCGTTCTGTCTCAACGAACTCGATATTTCAAGGGCAGAAACGAGGGCAGCGACATGACCAATAAACCCCACCACAAAACAGTGATTTTAGGGCAGTTTAAGTGGCACAACTCATACACTGAGCAATTATCTGGTCTTTCTCCCTGGTCTCTCTGGTCTCTCTTACTAATCTCTCTCTGGTACCTCTCTCTGCTCTCTCTCTGGGGAGGTGAAACTACAGTAAAGGTTTTTAAAGTATGTAATAATAACAAATCTAACATGTGTGCGTGCATGGGTGTTTAACAAGCTTTAAAATGACCCGTTTTCAGACTGTTGGAGTCTTGAGACCAAAAGAGACACAAGTGATTTATTCCAGGTTTATTTTTGTAGAAGCGATGATCCGTTTGAGTCTGTCTCTGTTGTGACTGTAAACATGTGAGGGTGACAGAAAACACTATTTAAAAGACTGGAGTCATGTGATGAGAGAGACCAGAGAAAGACCAGAGAGAGAGAGAAAGAGACTAGAGAGACTAGAGAGAGAGAGAGAGACCAGAGAGAGAGAAAGAGACTAGAGAGAGAGAGAGACCAGAGACAGAGAGAGAGAGAGTCCAGCCAGGGAGACCAGAGAGAGAGACCAGAGAGAGAGACCAGAGAGACCAGGGAGACCAGGGAGACCAGAGAGGGAGAGCAGAAATAATAAAGGGTCTCGTCCACATTGACCACACGATTCCGAGCTGTCGTTGATGATGTCGGAGTTTAACACACTTTTCTCATCTGTCTCTTGTCCTCAGCATCGTCCTCTTCCTGCTGCGGTGATGGTCATCAAAGTCTTCTTCCCTCAGTGCTGTAACCGTGCCGACAGCGGTCTCTTGGTGGGACGATGGATCCCGGGTCACGACTCTGCTCTGGTCCTGGCCGTGATCCACTACCCCTTCATCCCCAGTGCAGTCAAGCAGTACATACAGCAGGTCAGAGACAGACCAGTCAGAGAGAGACCAGTCATAGACAGACCAGTCATAGAGAGACCAGTCAGAGAGAGACCAGTCATAGACAGACCAGTCATAGAGAGACCAGTCAGAGAGAGACCAGTCAGAGAGAGACCAGTCATAGAGAGACCAGTCAGAGAGAGACCAGTCATAGAGAGACCAGTCAGAGAGAGACCAGTCAGAGAGAGACCAGTCATAGAGAGACCAGTCAGAGAGAGACCAGTCATAGAGAGACCAGTCAGAGAGAGACCAGTCATAGAGAGACCAGTCATAGAGAGACCAGTCATAGAGAGACCAGTCATAGAGAGACCAGTCAGAGAGAGACCAGTCAGAGAGAGACCAGTCAGAGAGAGACCAGTCATAGAGAGACCAGTCATAGAGAGACCAGTCAGAGAGAGACCAGTCAGAGAGAGACCAGTCATAGAGAGACCAGTCATAGAGAGACCAGTCATAGAGAGACCAGTCAGAGAGAGACCAGTTAGAGAGAGAGACCAGAGAGAAAGAGAACTCTCCGGTCTCTCTGGTCTGACCCTCTTTGGTCCCTCAGATGCAGAGCCTCAGTGGGGTGGACCTGTCAGTCCTTGGATCCTGGACTTTACCCACAGATGGTGAGGGCGACATGCAGAGCTTCCTCCAGGACCTGAGCTCCATCTTCCCCCAGAGACGCTGGCTCCAGATCCGCCGCGAGGACGGGAAGACGGGCTTCAGCTGCAGCGTCGTCAACACTCACAACAGTACCATGTTTTAATCATTCACATTCTGGATCCTTTACCCTGATGTTCTAGAGGCGCAAATCAGACAGAGTACACTATAAAACCCCACCACAGTGTTCTGCGGCCATGTTTGTAGTCCATCTGCTGCATGTGTGTAGTTCATCTGCTCCATGTGTGTAGTCCACCAGGTCCAGGTTTGTAGTCCATCTGCTGCATGTGTGTAGTTCATCTGCTCCATGTGTGTAGTCCATCAGGTCCATGTTTGTAGTCCATATGCTCCATGTTTGTAGTCCACCTGCTCCTTGTTTGTAGTCCATTAGCTCCATGTTTGTAGTCCACCTGCTCCTTGTTTGTAGTCCATTAGCTCCATGTTTGTAGTTCACCTGCTCCATGTTTGCAGTCCACCTGCTCCTTGTTTGTAGTCCATTAGCTCCATGTGTGTTGTCCACCTGCTCCATGTTTGTAGTCCATCAGGTCCATGTTTGTAGTCCATATGCTCCATGTTTGTAGTCCACCTGCTCCTTGTTTGTAGTCCATTAGCTCCATGTTTGTAGTCCACCTGCTCCTTGTTTGTAGTCCATTAGCTCCATGTTTGTAGTTCACCTGCTCCATGTTTGCAGTCCACCTGCTCCTTGTTTGTAGTCCATTAGCTCCATGTGTGTTGTCCACCTGCTCCATGTTTGTAGTCCATTAGGTCCATGTTTGTAGTCCACCTGCTAAATGTTTGTAGTCCATTAGGTCCATGTTTGTAGTCCACCTTCTCCATGTTTGTAGTCCACCTGCTAAATGTTTGTAGTCCATGTGCTCCATGTTTGTAGTCCATCAGGTCCATGTGTCTGTGTTTCAGAGAACAGTGTATTCCAGTCAGAAGTGGAGGAGGAGTCTGATCAGAAGGTCATGTTCCTTCACTACGACCAGCGCAAAGTGATGCAGTCGCAGCTTCACGGAGACCAGAGCAGAAAGACCGAGACCCAGGCCCCGCCCTCTGAGCTCACACAGGTACAGTGAAGATCTGTTCTCTCTCCTCCCCCCCTCCTCTCCTCTCCTCCTCTGTATCCTCTTCTCTCCTTTTGCTCCTCTCCTCCTCTCTCCCCCCTCCTCTCTCCCTTCTCCCCCCTCCTCTCTCCCCTCTCCCCCCTCCTCTCTCCCCTCTCCCCCCCCTCTCCTCTCCCCTCTCAGTTTAAGTCTCCCTTGCTGTGTTTGCAGATCTTTGCGTCTGTGTCTCAGAGTCAGCCTCTGTTCTTCCTGGATAAATACGACGATGGTCCTGTGAGGAGCACGCACTGGCAGAGTGAGGGGAGAGAGGGGAGTATCGTGGTGGAGCTGGGGAAGCAGGCCGCGCTCCCTCTGTGTGTTCTGATCTCTGCTCTACTGCAGCTGTGGAGCCGCTTCTGCAGGCTCAGGTTAGAGACGCTGCTCCTCTCAACATGCTGCTCTCTCTCTGGTGGGTCTCTGGTCTCTCTCACTGGTCTCTCTCTGGTGGGTCTCTGGTCTCTCTCTAGTCACAATCTTTGGTCTCTCTCTCTGGTCTCTTTCTCTGGTCTCTCTCTGGTCTCTCTGGTCTCTTTCTGGTAGGACTCTGGTCCCTCTCTGGTGGGACTCTGGTCTCTCTCTCTGGTCTCTCTCTTTTCTCTCTCTCTGGTCTCTGATTTGTTGTGTGGTTTGTGTTTCAGGATTTTCAAAGTTTTCCCGCTGCCGTTCGTCTGCTCCAAACTGTCCACATGCGTCCAGCTCAGTCACAGGACTCAGCAGATGAAGACCTTGTGGTCCAGGAACACAGCACCGGACCATAAGAGCTTTATGAGGTCAGAGACCAGAGAGAGAGACCAGAGAGAGAGGGACCAGAGAGAGGGAGACCAGAGAGAGAGAGAGACCAGAGAGAGGGAGAGACCAGAGAGAGGGAGACCAGAGAGAGAGAGAGACCAGAGAGAGAGACCAGAGAGAGGGAGACCAGAGAGAGGGAGACCAGCGAGAGGGAGACCAGAAAGAGCGGTAGACCAGAAAGAGCGGTAGACCAGAAAGGGCAGGAGACCAGAAAGAGAGAGAGACCGGAGAGTGTGAGACCGGAGAGAGAGAGACCGGAGAGTGTGAGACCGGAGAGTGTGAGACCGGAGAGTGTGAGACCGGAGAGTGTGAGACCGGAGAGTGTGAGACCGGAGAGTGTGAGACCGGAGAGTGTGAGACCGGAAAGACCGGAGAGTGTGAGACCGGAGAGTGTGAGACCGGAGAGTGTGAGACCAGAGAGTGTGAGACCGGAGAGTGTGAGACCGGAGAGTGTGAGACCGGAGAGTGTGAGACCGGAGAGTGTGAGACCGGAGAGTGTGAGACCGGAGAGTGTGAGACCGGAGAGTGTGAGACCGGAGAGTGTGAGACCGGAGAGTGTGAGACCGGAGAGTGTGAGACCGGAGAGTGTGAGACCGGAGAGTGTGAGACCGGAGAGTGTGAGACCGGAGAGTGTGAGACCGGAAAGACCGGAGAGTGTGAGACCGGAGAGTGTGAGACCGGAGAGTGTGAGACCGGAGAGTGTGAGACCGGAGAGTGTGAGACCGGAGAGTGTGAGACCGGAGAGTGTGAGACCGGAGAGTGTGAGACCGGAGAGTGTGAGACCGGAGAGTGTGAGACCGGAGAGTGTGAGACCGGAGAGTGTGAGACCGGAGAGACCGGAGAGTGTGAGACCGGAGAGTGTGAGACCGGAGAGTGTGAGACCGGAGAGAGTGAGACCGGAGAGAGTGAGACCGGAGAGAGTGAGACCGGAGAGACCGGAGAGACACACACATTTAAACCCTGTCTGTGTGTGTTGCAGGAAAGCTAACATCTTTGTGTCTCTGCTGCTGGATGTGTGTCTGGGTTTTGTGCTGATGTCGTGGCTCTACACCGACCACAACATTACGACCATCGCAGACGCTCTGGTGCCTGCGGCTGATGTGAGGCCTCTCCCCCCACCCCCACTGCCGAAACTGCACAGATACAAACTATGTTACTATAAAAAGCCTGGCAATTTGAACATGTTTGTTATTATGGAAAGATTCCCACAGACTGTATACAGATGGACAATGCTAACCTGCTAGCTCAATGAAGCCCAGTCAGGAAGTTCTCATGGTCTCTCTCTGGCTTCTTCTTATCTCTCTGGTCTCTCTCTGGTGTCTCTCTGGTCTCTCTCTCTTGTATCTGTCTCTCCCTCTCTCTGGTTTCTCTCTGGTCTCTCTCTGGTCTCTCTCTCTTGTATCTGTCTCTCCCTCGCTCTGGTTTCTCTCTCGTCTTGATATTAAACCCTGAAATGCCTCTATGAGTCCATATTCCTAGTTCTTGTGTTGAATCTGTCCTTCCTGGTTTGGCAGCTGGTGGCTAAAGAGCTGACAGAGCTGCTGCAGTGGCTGATGGGAGCTCCAGCTGGTCTGAAGATGAACCGAGCTCTAGACCAGGTCCTGGGCCGGTTCTTCCTGTACCACATCCACCTGTGGATTAGTGAGTCGCCACGAACACCCTCACAATCATAAATGACATGTTTGTTAAAGTAGAAAGACCGTGAGTCACCATGTGACCGAGGCCAAACATACATGAAACCAGTGACCGAAGCAAATCGTGTTTTGGTCTCTCTCTGGTCTCCTTCTGTTCTCTTTTTTTCTCTCTTGTCTCTCTTGTCTGTCTTTCTCTGGTCTCTCTGAACACACCCCTGTAATGTGTATGTAAACCAGGGACCAGTGCAGTTATTGATGATAACTGCAGGTACTGCAGTCAGGTACCTGAGCTTTAACATGTCCCCAGGCTACATCCACCTGATGTCTCCGTTTGTGGAGAGCCTCTTGTGGTACGGAGGCCTTACTGCGGCGCTGGGTCTGAGTGTGGTGCTGTCTCTGCTGTCGGACATGATCGCTCTGCTCACATTCCACATCTACTGCTTCTACGTCTATGGTGCCCGGTAAGACCGGACCAGAGACCGGACCAGAGACCGGACCAGAGACCGGACCAGAGACCGGACCAGAGACCGGACCAGAGACCGGACCAGAGACCGGACCAGAGACCGGACCAGAGACCGGACCAGAGACCGGACCAGAGACCGGACCAGAGACCGGACCAGAGACCGGACCAGAGACCGGACCCAGCTTTAAGCTGAAGTATTGAACCATGTGTGTTTCAGTCTGTACTGTATGAAGGTCTACGGTTTGTCGTCGCTGTGGAGACTGTTCAGGGGAAAGAAGTGGAACGTCCTGAGGCAGAGAGTCGACTCCTGCTCCTACGACCTGGACCAGGTGAGGCCCTGGACTAGGTGAGGCCCTGGCCCTGGACCAGGTGAGGCCTGTATCTGTTCCTTGTGCTCTTACTGTCTCTGGTCTCATGAGGATCTGTGGTGTTTACATCAGAGTCGTTCATCAGATCAACTCCTGAGAGCAGTCACATTGACTGCTCTCAGGAGTGTGTGTTATAATGTGTGTCTGTGTGCTCTCTGGAGTGTGTGTCTGGTCTCAGTTGTGTGTTCACTTCCTGTTGTGTTGCAGCTGTTCATCGGGACTCTGCTGTTCACCGTCCTCCTGTTTCTGCTGCCGACAACCGCACTGTACTACCTCGTCTTTACTCTGGTAACACACACACACACACACACACACACACACATACACGTTTTTGTTACCTGGTGGGTCCCTTTGACAGGGCCGTTCAGAATGGGACCCATAGACATAATCTTTTTTTACCAAGACTTTAAGTAATACAAAACAGTCAATAGAAACCAAACAACTATTTTAAAGGAATTTTATTTTAGATTTTGTTTTCGAATTGCAGTGATTCTATTTTTGACATAGAATTTAATGCCACTCCATGTCCGATGTCTAAGGTCATCTGGTGAGGCATTAATGCAGGCCAGGCAGTGAGACTTCCCAGGGACCTTTCCAGTCTGTATGAAAGGTGTCATGGTCTTCTCCACAGCCTTCACCTCAGATGCAGACCATGGCTTTCTTACACGTTCTAGGGAGAGAAATAAAAATATATTAGCAATATACACTCCCAGGGTGAGGACCAAGCAGCCTGGCTGTAATCCCCCACCTGGTACACTTACCAGAAGGGGCACTGCCACTACCATGGGGTGCATCTGGATGAATGGTTGAAGGTTCTCCGCTTGAAGTTTCTTTTAGCCCGTCCGTTTGTGAGAGGATCTCTACTGCTCTCCCTGTCGCACAGAAAATAAAAATACAAGTGGCCTTTAGGGGAAAAAAATCATACATATTTTAATAATATCAAGAATTACCTTCAGGCTCAATTTGTATCTGGTCGAGGCTCTTTCCTTCGAATTCCGTCACTCTTCCCTGCTCCATGGCCATCAACACTTTGCTGATTTTGGCCAGCTCCAGTGTCCCCTCTGGTAGTCTGTAATATTGCCTGTGGATGCGAATGTCATGGCCGAGGAAGTTGGCAAGTATGTCCATCTCATTCTCTTTCATATTGAGAACTGTAGACATAGTAGCTATGTGCTTTCTAAGTTTGGTTGAGGATAGCATCTCTGGATGCACCGCACCACATTCTTTGGCTACCTGGCGTAGGGAGTCTGATCCCCTGATGTGGGTGTCTGCGCCCGGGCGGGAAAAGAAGTATGGGTTATGGTCAGAGATGGAACAGGCCCTTCTGTTCTCCACCAGCACCTCCATCGAAGCAATCATTTCAGGAGTCAAAAGAACCGGCACTTTCCGACTTCTTTTCCCTTTAATTTCAATGCGTTGAAAATGCTGACACAGCTTTTTCTCAAGTTGGGACAGTCCCAGAGCAATGTCAGAATGGATCCCAGTCTTACTTCTTAAGGTAAAGGCTGTCAGTGGCATCTTTGAAACCTCACCTTCCCTTCTTCGATTGAAAATGATGACCTCACAAAGAGTCAAAACTGCCAGTTTAGACCAATGCTTAGACGTTGGCTCACTTATTAGGGTTTGCACATATTCAGGTCGACATACCTCAATATGTGCATGCATGGCTCTAACGTCCTCAGTCAGAGGGAGCAGGTCCGGAGTGTTCCACTTGGCTTGCCGGAGGGTCTGTAGGGCAGCAGAAGAAACACAGACGTCCCACCTCTTCTCAAAAAGCAGCCGGCTTCGTTGGAGGTTTTTAATAAATAGTTCATCAACACAATGCTCCATTTTTGAGTCACATTCAAGAATATCTGCTAGCTTTCTGAGGCTATGGCCGAGTTTGAGGGCCAAGGATGGAGTCTTGTATTGATTTGTTTCCTCATCATATCCAGCCACAGACCTGACTGCATCAATCACATGGTTAAAGTTGGAAGGAATAAAGAAATCCTTAATTGTTTTCAGTTTCCCTGCGGTTTTTGCTTCGTTAATTAACCTACCGACTTCTCTCATTTTCTGCCTAATGTAATCATGCTTTGTCTTATCATGCCCGTGTTTTAAGTACAGGTGCTCTCCGAGTCTCAGAATCCCCTTTTCTGCTTTGACAACACCCGTGACCTCATCCTGATGCATTGCCGAAATTAAAGACCACAGCTTTTTGCTGATGCCCTCCGGTACAGGCTGGGCTAGGGAGCAGAGGGACTGGACCCTACTTCTACCTGGTTTAGCCTGGGCATCTTTCTGTGAAAGCCGGCACCTGGCCACATGCCTCCACAGCGACTTTCGCTTAAGCAATGCCCCACAGTCTATACAGTGCAAAAACTCACTGGATTTAACTGGGCAATTTGGCTGTTTAGCTGGGACTAAAGTTCCAATGCCGGCCTTTAAAACCTCAAAATTGTGCTCACGGTTTCCACTATTCCTGATCAAATCAAACTGAAGTTTACGTGCTTTAGATTTCACAGGTAGAGCCAATGCTCTGGCTACGTCACTTTCATTTCCATGTTTTCTAGTCAAATGACGGGACATTTTGTGGCAGGACATTGAACAGTAGAGGCAGAAGTGTCTCTTGCTGTATACTCGCCCCCCATTTTTCTTCTTTTGCAGCTGCATGATAACAATCTTATTTGCCTTTGGTTCGTCACTTTCCGAGTCTTGAAGAAAAGTGTTTTTGATTTTTCTTTTTCCATACTTTTTTACAGGTTTCTTCTTGACAGTTAAATCGTCAGAATCTGAGTCGACTTCATCAATTAGGGACTCTTGACTAAGCTGCACAAACAACAAATAATTTGTAATCATTCTATATAACAATTTGAAGTCATGACTTGTAGTCAGCACTTACCAGTGGTTTGTAAGCGTGCGCTTCAGTGTGCTCCTCCATGATTTCTTGCAGCCTAATGAACCACACACTTGCACCTTTTTCTAGCCTGACACCTGATTTCCTCTGTTGTGCTGCTCCATGATTGGCTCCAGCCTGCTGGACTGAAATTGCCCCAGTGTGCCCCTCCTTGATATCCCGCAACCCACCACCAGGGTTCCGACACATAACACACTTTTTTCAGGAAAGTAAACCTCCAGGGGTCCTTTCCATATTTTTACAGAGACTGCATAAGGACCGTTAGAAAAGCATTACCCATTGATTATTAAGCTTGGACCAGTGGGGTCCGGTGTTCGGGCCCCACCACGTAAAACCAGTCCCCATGACGTGAGTGGAATCTCAGGTTATGGAACCCACCAGGAGTTGAAAACAAGTGCACACACACACACACACACACACACACACAGAGACACACACACTCACACACTTATGTAGAAAGTCATGTTCCTGATTTTTACCTGTGTGTGTGTGTCTCTGTGTGTGTCTGCTTGTGTCTGCTTGTGTCTGCGTGTGTGTGTGTGTGTGTGTAGCTGCGGCTGGTGGTGGTCCTGGTCCAGGGTCTGATCCACGTCTCTGTCGACCTCATCAACTCCTGCCCCCTGTTCGCCCTGGGACTGAGGCTTTGCAGACCCTACAGACTGGCAGGTCAGACTGTAGACCTGTAGACCCAAGACTGAGGCTGTAGACCCAGGACTGAGGCTGTAGACCCAGGACTGAGGCTGTAGACCCAGGACTGAGGCTGTAGACCCAGGACTGAGGCTGTAGACCCAGGACTGAGGCTGTAGACCCAGGACTGAGGCTGTAGACCCAGGACTGAGGCTGTAGACCCAGGACTGAGGCTGTAGACCCAGGACTGATGCTGTAGACCCAGGACTGAGCCTGTAGACCCAGGACTGAGGCTGTAGATCCAGGACTGAGGCTGTAGACCCAGGACTGAGGCTGTAGACCCAGGACTGAGGCTGTAGACCCAGGACTGAGGCTGTAGACCCAGGACTGAGGCTGGACCAGACTGAGGCTGTAGACCCAGGACTGAGGCTGTAGACCCAGGACTGAGGCTGTAGACCCAGGACTGAGGCTGTAGACCCAGGACTGAGGCTGTAGACCCAGGACTGAGGCTGTAGACCCAGGACTGAGGCTGTAGACCCAGGACTGAGGCTGTAGACCCAGGACTGAGGCTGTAGACCCAGGACTGAGGCTGTAGACCCAGGACTGAGGCTGTACTGTAGCTCCTGGACTAAGGCTGTAGACCCAGGACTGAGGCTGTAGATCCTGGACTGAGGCTGGACTGAGGCTGTAGACCAAGGACTGATGTTGTAGGTCCAGGACTGAAGCTGTAGACCCAGGACTGAGGCTGTAGACCCAGGACTGAGGCTGGGTCTACAGCCTCAGTCTACAGGCTGGACTGAGGCTGTAGACCCAGGACTGAGGCTGTAGACCCAGGACTGAGGCTGTAGACCCAGGACTGAGGCTGTAGACCCAGGACTGAGGCTGTAGACCCAGGACTGAGGCTGTAGATCCCAGGACTGAGGCTGGACTGAGGCTGTAGACCCAGGACTGAGGCTGTAGACCCAGGACTGAGGCTGTAGACCCAGGACTGAGGCTGTAGACCCAGGACTGAGGCTGTAG